GAGGAGCCTGTGGCTGAGGAGCCTGTTGCCGAGGAGCCTGTGGCTGAGGAGCCTGCTGCTGAGGAGCCTGTCGCCAAGGAGCCTATTACTGAGGAACCTGTGGCTGAGGAACCTGTGGCTGAGGAACCTGTGGCTGAGGAACCTGTGGCTGAGGAACCTGTGGCTGAGGAACCTGTGGCTGAGGAGCCTGTGGCTGAGGAGCCTGTGGCTGAGGAGCCTGCTGCTGAGGAGCCTGTTGCTGAGGAGCCTGCTGCTGAGGAGCCTGTTGAGGTACTAGCTGCCGAAGCTACCCCCGAGAAGGCCATCGAAGAGCCTGTCGTTGAGGAAGCGGTTGCCGACGCTGCTGTTGCTCACATTGCCGAGGAGCCAGCTATTGAGGAGCCCGTTATCGAGCCGACTGTCGAGAAACCTACCGAGGATCCAGTTGTGGTGCAACCGGTCGCTGATACCACCCTTGAGAAGGAGATTGAGGAGCCCGCAGTAACGGAAGATTCAGTTGCCGAAGAACCTGCTGTTGAGGCCATTTCCGACGAGAACTCCGAGAAACCAGCCACCGAGATCCCAGCCATGGAGGAGTCTCTCGCTCAAGAACCTGTTGCTGAGCCCATCGTTGCTGAGGTCGCCGAGACTGTCAATGAGCCCACTGCCGATGCAGAGGTTGCGAAGGAGCCTGTCGCAGAGGCTATCGTTGCTGAGACTGCGCAGACTGTCGAAGAGCCTGCTCAGGAAACCCCTGCTGTCGAAGAGCCGGTAACTGAGGTTTCAGAGGAAGCAGCAGAGCAGGACAAGGCTGCCGAGACTTCAGTTGCCGATGTCACTGAGACTTCTGCACCAGAGGAGTCTGCCGCAGCCGTCGAAGAGCCCGTGGTGGAAACCGCAGCTGTCGAGGAACCTCTTAGCGAGAAGTCCGCCGTCGAAGAAATCGCACAATCGGAGCCAGCTGCTGAGGAGCCCGTGGCCGAGAAGGCTATCGAAGCTGCGGAACCCACTCAGGAGATCTCCCCTGAGGAGCCTGAAGCTGCTGAGCTCAAGGAGGAGCCCGTGGCCGAGGAATCTGTCCAACCTGAGCCTGCTGCTGCCGAGGATGTCTCCGAGGAGATTGCAGAGCTTGTCCAAGAGAAGCCTGCTTCTGAGGAGGAAGTTTCTGAGGTTCCTGTTGTCGAAGAGCCTGCTGCATTCGAGCCCGCGACCGTGGAAGCTGCCATTGCCGAAGAGCCTGCTTCTGAAGTTTCTGCTGTTGAAGCTTCTGGTGAAAAAGTTCCAGAAGACGTCACTGAAGAGAAGGCTCTTGAAGACTCGACTCATGCCGAATCTACCGAGGAGGCTGCGGCAGTCTCGGTGCCTGTGGTGGAGAACAGCGCCGTTGCTGAAGCCCCCGATCAAGTGACTCAGGAAAAGCCTCAGGAGACCCCCGCCATCGAGGAGATCGAAGAGACTCCCGCCGTCGAAAAGACTCCCGCCGTCGAAGAGACTCCCGCCGTCGAAGAGACTCCCGCCGTCGAGGAGATTCCCGCTGTCGAGGAGACGCCAGCCGTCGAGCAGAGCCCCGCTTTCGAGGAGACGCCCGCCGTTGAAGAGACGCCCGCTGTTGACGACACTCCCGCCGTTGAAGAGACGCCCGCTGTCGAAGAGACGCCCGCTGTCGAAGAGACTCCCGCTGTTGAGGAAACCCCTGCTATTGAGGAGACCCCTGCTGTGGAAGAGACCCCTGCCATCGAGGAGACCCCTGCCATCGAGGAGACTCCCGCTGTCGAGGAGACGCCCGCCATCGAGGAGACCCCCGCTATCGAAGAGACTCCCGCCGTCGAAGAGACTCCCGCCGTCGAAGAGACTCCCGCTGTTGACGACACTCCCGCCGTCGAGGAGACTCCCGCTATCGAAGAGACTCCCGCTGTCGAGGAGACGCCCGCCGTTGAAGAGACTCCCGCCGTCGAGGAGACCGCCGCTGTTGAAGAGACTCCCGCTGTTGAGGAAACCCCTGCTATTGAGGAGACCCCTGCTGTGGAAGAGACCCCTGCCGTCGAGGAGACTCCCGCTGTTGAGGAGACTCCCTCCGTCGAAAAGTCTCAGGAAGAACCTAAGGAGGTCCCTGTTGTCGAAGAAGCTCCTCTTGAGGAGAGTCTCGCCGATGTGCCTGCAGCAGTTGTTGCTGAGGAGCCCAAGGAAGCACCGGTTGTTGAAGAGAAGCCCGTCATCGACGAGGTCCAGCCGACATCGGCGGCAGCAGTGGAGGAGCCTGTCGAGGAATTTGTTCCTGATGTCACTGAGAAGGAGGAGGTTGTCGTGACACCCGCCACGGAGGATTTCATTCCCGCTGTCGTCAAGGAAGATGTGGCCCGGGTGACCGAGGGTGTTGACGAGCCTGCTGCCGCTGTGCAAACCCCCGAGCCTGTTGCGACTGAATCCGTTCCTGAGGCTACTACGACCGAGGAACCCGAAGCACAAGCCGTTGTGGAGCCGGTTGCTGTGCAGGATGTGGCAGATGAGACCCGTGAGCTCGCTGAGGCGCAACTTTCCGAACGTGTGTCTTTCGCCGAAATCGAGGGCAAGGTCGAGCAAGCCCCCACCAATGGAGTTGACAACACGCAAACGGTTGCTGAAGATGACACTGAGCCTACCACTATCGCCAAGGATGAAAGCTCTGCCGTTCCTGCCAAGGAAGAGCCTGCCAAGGACAACACCCTGATGCCCGAGATCATCGCTGCAGGCGCTGCCGCTGCCGTGGCTGCCGGAGGTGTCCTTGCCGTTGGAGCCGCTTCGTCGCACAAGGAGCGCGATGCTGAAGCTGCTGCTGAACCTGTTGCTCCTGTGGCTGCCCACGAGGAGTCCGAGGCCAGGCCTACTCCTTCGGCTACGTCAAAGGAGCCCGAGGCTGCAGCAGCACCTGCTGAAACCAAATCACAGGAACCCCAGCCCGAGGACAAGGACAAGGCTGTCAACGCCGTGCCTGGTACTTGGCCTACTGAGGGTAAGAGCTCTTCGGCTACAAATAAGCAGCTCGAAACTGACCATGACGCAGCTCACGCCGGTGGTCACGCCCAACAAGCAACCCGGGAGCCCGAGAGCACCGCCGCCGAACCGTCGAACGCTGCTGACAAGGCAGTAGCCACGAAGGGAGACGAGAACCCTCGTTCACAGAGTCAAAATCGGTCAGTCACCGCTGTTTCTCTGAATCATAAGAAGCATGACAGCTGGTTGAAGACTATCTTACGCGCTGTGTTTACCAATTTCTTTGGAGCAATCTTCTCTCCTTTCCGCCGTCGCGGGAGGAACAACCAATAGATGTGTTTCCTAGAGATGCTGATTTCAATGAAGCCTGTTTGGGCTGAGTTGAATCTATGCAATTGTGATGCTTACGTTTGTTTATTGCCAACGCTAATGTGAATCAGGAGCCTGTTCTTGATGACCGTTTTTGCTGCCCCCTTGCTCGCATTTGTTTGGCATGCATATACCCGCTGAGTTGTTCGAATTTCTTGATGCGAACCTGCGCCGCTCATTTTATTGCTCGAATCGATTCCCCTGTATTTGATATATTGATGGCTTAGGACGAGTATCTACTGCCAGTGTTGTGTTACTCCGCTCAACTGTTCGAGTGTTTCAGATGTGTTGATAATGCTGGTGATGATAATTTCAAGACGCTGTTGTTTGCAAGTTGACATGCAGGTTATTGTTTACTCCATAGCATATAATGTGTCCTATGATTGATGATAATGAGATTATTCGATTTTTCTGTTTGAATGTCTTGTCATAGTCACAGAGTTGCCGGGGAGTCGCATGAGCATTTGACAAGGGCTAGATTCTCTGTGTTTCTTCATACAGCCTCTTCTCTAGAAAGACATTGCTCGCGCGTCTGATCGTAGATCGTACTTATCTCAACTTCCCTAGTTCGTACCAACGATGTTTGAACCAGGAACGCTGAGATGCGCCTCGCATGTCTATTCTGTATTTGCCCCTTGTTCCTTAGTATCTGGTAGATTTACAGTCCATGCTGGGGATAGCCAGTGAAGAAATCATTACGGAGATGGCTGGCAGTAGGTTGAACCAACGGGGTTCTGGAATAATTTCAGCCAGCCAGCTCTGGGCTCTATCAGTATCTCTTCTTGTATCCTGGTCTTCATTACCTTTTTTTTTCTTTTTCATTTCATCTCATTCTCATATTGGCCCTTTTATTCGTGATCTGGGCATCTGCATACAGATATGAACAAGAGGAATGGCAACAGGAATGGCGACAGCAACAGTAACGGCATCAGAAATCGGGAGAATAGCATGAACAGCAATCAGGATTCATCAACACAATTCAACAATTCAGAGTAGTAGTAGTAGAGCGGCTAGCCAGCCTGCGGCTTTCTGAGAGATAGGTATAAGGTAGTGTAAGCCCTGTGGCTCTTGCAAGGGGGGGTTTAGATGTGGCAAAGAACTGGGTCTTCTGCTTGGGACCGTACAGTATTCGTTCGTTCGTTCTTGCTTGTATAGCAGATGCCAGATGTCTTTGTGTCCGGATTTCCTTTTCTGATTTCTGAGGAATGATGGTGGTGGTGGTGGTGGTGGTTTTCTGGTGTTTTCAGTGCCCCCCCCCCCCCCGGGAGGAGGCGAAGAGTAAGAAGAGGCGAATGATAAAAATTGAAGTTGCGCATGGTCACAGGTTTTAAAAGGCTTCGTCGAGCACATCCAACATGGAATTCAGTACGGCAGGAGTGCACTGCTACATGCTATTTCATACATCGCCCGTTTGGATGTCTGTCGATTCCCCGGGTTACAGTCCGTCCACGACGAGCTGGTCAAGGATAGGTATCTTCTTCTGTTACTACAGTATTGTTCATGCCGTTTCTCTTGGGGGTGGGAGGATGCTGTTGTCCCTGGGAGTTTGACGGTGCATTGAGGGTTTTTGGAGTAATAGAATCAGGGAAAGGAGATTAAGATGGAGAGAGGGCATGTGGTCATTCAGTTTCTATTCTGTTTGGATGTCATCTGTTTTCGTTTCTCTGCAGTGTCTTAAGAGGGAGAGGGAAAAGAGTCGAGCTCTTTTCGTGAGAGTCTTCTACTCATTAGCACGGGCCTGGGTCTCATGCTAACTTCTACTCATTCCGCGGGATTCTACTTCAGGTTCGCCGGACTGTACAGTAACACGAAATGTCGTTGGCCCTTCTGATGCCTTGCTCTTCCCTATGATACTTAGTTTCCTAACAGATCGTAGTGGGTTCAAAGCGCAGATTCCAAACCTCATAGTTTGAGCAGAGTGTATGGTTTATCTTGCATAGCATTGCATTGCATTACATAGCCCTGATTTCTGGCTACACGGCGTGGGCTCTCTGGTAGTTACGGTTACTAGCTTTCGTACTCTGTCTCGAGAGCCTTCAGTAAAGAGTGATTCGCACTGGTTCTCACTGGTATCCACTGGCGTGAAGAAATGCAGGAGATCCACTTTCATAGCCACGAGCGCCATCTAGCAGCCTACGCAACGCGGCTTAGAGGAATTCTTCATCTGGAGGTTGGAGAAGAGGCCCTTTTCGCTTCTGCATTGAACTATGCCCGGGTTTCTCTAGAATTAGGATTCATAGTCAATTTCTTTGCCCATGCGTTATTATGATAGACTGCTGCTCGCTAATGATGACTGGAAGAGTCAAGCTGCAGCTCTTAGAAGAGAACTAGAAGAGCTAAACTGATGCCCTTCTAAAATGACTGTCACAGCTAAACTACGCCCTCAGACAACAAGAACAGCCTACCAATTTACCCCCGTCTCTCACCAAGACCAAAGGCCCCAGATACCCCATCCCCCTCGACATTACCTATACAACCCCATAGACACCCTCTGCCCAGAAACAATCAAAACACCTGCAAAGGAGAAAGTAAGCTCACCCAAAGTAAGCCACCAGCACAAGTAATTCACATCTTCCATCGGGATAACCCCCAAAGTGAAAAAGCCCTGGTCAGAGATCCCGTGCCGTCACTTGGGCAGTGTCTCCACGCAATGTGTTAAACCGTTCATTCACTGCTGAATCCCCATAGTGTTGTATCTCTAAGCTTCGATGTAGTCTGTTTACCCCGCGTCTTTCTTTCTCTGTAAATTGATCTTTTGAGATTTACCAATCTCTTTGCACAGCACACTTGTGATTTGATTCCTGCATCTACAATACAATAGCAACCACCATCGTGTGATCATCGCGGATCAGATCAGTTCCATATCATAACAAAGTGAGCTCTTGCTTCCTTGCGTACAGACTTGATTCTGCTGGTGAGATGGACAGAGATGAGGCGATATCGATATCGATATCAACATTGGAAAGTGTTTCATTCCATCCTAAGCTGACGCGTGGGAGTCTTTCCTCACCTTAGAAACAACACTCAACACCTTCTCCATCGATCAGTTCATCAAGCTGTCATCCACTTCCATCCATCACTTTCTCTCGCAAGCTTGAACATTCAACAGTCACGCACGAAGAGAGTAGGAAAAGGTATGTGGTTGATCTCGAGTAACTATCATCACCCCAGCACTAGAAGTCAAGTTCAAGGTTCAGTGGTGCACATAACCCAAATCACATATCAGGACTGTTGGTAACACTGTTGTTGGCATACCAAGCGCCTGTTGGAACTTCTGATAGTGATATCAACGCGTGTGCCCTGCGTATATCAAGTCCAACCTTTGTTCTTTTTTTGCGTCCTGCCTGTCCTCCTCTCATGTCATATTGGTAGTAGATAAAGCCGCACGGAGGAGAACTAATACGTGATAGCAGACATAGTCACCCGTGTTTCGAGCACGAACCTAGGGCTGGGTGGCAATCACCATGGCACCCGAGGATGGCAACGCGTGGGCAATCCGAAAAGCCAAAGAAGCTCAGGCCCAGGCTCGTGCAAGAGAGCTGCACCAGCAGCAGAGGAATGAAGACCATTCACAGGGACCCCATGACAATTTTAAACATTGTGAACCTGCTGCTATTGATCTTAACACAGGTATGTCAGCTTTCTTTTGATTGCAGGTGTGTGTGTGTGCAGATGCTCACCTTGATCATCAGAACTTGCCAGGAACACCACTTCGACAATCTCATCCTCCTCCACGGCGGTAACCTCATCGTACTCTTCCGAAAAGCCGCACATCCAATGCGGCAGCAGAAACTTCAATGGCGAAGTCACCATCTCCATGCCCAAGCAAAAATCCGCACGAAGCTCGGAGGAGACAATAACGCCTACATCATATTCATCCACCTTCGAGAAAAAGACGCAGTCCGAGACGTCCAAGCCCGTCAAGCGGGTTCGCATCTCAGACGAAACTATCACAACAACCTACTCGCCGTATTCCTGGCCGAGTCTGGAAGAAAAGAAGTCCGGCGACGACAGACCCACCGCGAAACGCTCGCTCACCGATGGCTCGGTAGCCACCACTACCAAGCCCCACGGGATCCTCAAGCCGGCCAAGCGCTCGTTCACCGACCCGTTCAATCGCCGGGCTCGCAAGTCCGAGAAGGCCAAGGCAGCAGGAGGAGACCCGGGACCGGAGCACAGCTACTGGGAACCGGATGAGAAGCCAGGGTTCTTCCAGGCGCTGCGCTCGAAGCTCTCGCTGAAGGAGTTGGCGCGGCTGGGGCATAAGTCGGCCGAAGATGAAAATATTGGGCCCTGGATGAAAGTGGCGGATTATTTGGATATCGTTGATCCGGGATGGCGTAAGGATATCGAGGTCGGCATTGCGATCAAGAAGGGCATTTGGCGGCTCGAGCCCGAGAAGAAGAAGCCCGACCCCAACCCCAAGTATCCGAATTGTGGCATCTGGCGCGCCCAGTACCCTAAAAACCATAAGCCTTGCACCTGGACTGGGCCGCCGTCAGATGATGGGGATTCTGATGAATCTGGGGAGGAGGCCTTGTTGCCGGCGACGCCTTATATCGAAGATAAGGTTAATGCGGGTCATTACATCGCGAATCCTAATCACGGTAGGACTGGCAATGAGAGCAAGGAGAACGCGGTGCCCTCGATCAGCGACAGGTTGACAGCGGCTTCCACTGTGCAACACATGGCTGGCAATCCTGTTGCTCAGCACAAGCCTGTTGTGGCCAACGCATCGGCGAGCGTGCCTGCTCGTCAGTCTGGCCTGCTAGGCACCTTTGAGCACAAACCCAGCAAGGCCGCTGAGAATAAACCACTCGTCGAGGGATCCAGAAGCATGTCCACTCAATCTCAGCAGATGCAGAAGCACGACCCCCACACATCGACTGAGTACAATTCACTGGCCACGGACGGACCCAAGAGAGTAGTATCCTTCCCCAAACCCAGTAACACCGCCGAAGCAAAGCAATTCCAGTTCCCAGCCAACAAGCACGAGCAGGAACCAATCAAGACAACTGAGAACAAAACACTCGTCACCGAGAATTCTAAGAACGTGTTCATCCTACCACAGAACACGCAGCAGCACGGACCTCACAAACCGACAGTATCCTTTAAGTCCGGTCACACTGTCGAAGCAAAGCATTCGCGGTCCCAGTCCCACGAGCCCGAGCAGCACAAATCGCCTGTCGCCAATCTATCAAACGAAGTGCCCGGCCGCCGACGTGACAGACCGGTCGAAATGGAGGATGAGGATCATCTTCCCGCAAAGGACGACTTCCGTAACCACCAGTTGTGCATATTTGACGGAGAATTGCTGTGTCCGATCTGTCCCACAGTCCTGAACCCTGGACAGATCTACTCGCCGTCAGTATATGGAGTCTCGGGAGATTCCTCCTCGATACGTACCTTGGATCTTCAAGAGTCTCTCACACAACCACTGAGCCTGGCCGAACAGGAGGGATGTCGTCAGATGGAGATGCGATACGATCTAGTGAGCCCCTTTGTCGCACTCGCCGACCACCCTCCCAGGCCTGCTCCCAGTGTCCCCGCGCACCCTACCAGACCGGCTCCCAGCATTCCAGCGCCTACCAGACCGGCTCCCAGTGTCCCCGCGCTCCCAGATGGAGGCCAACCGCCGACAGCATCCAACGGCGCAGCGTACTCGGACGGAGTCTCATACCATAATGCTCGGCGATCCAGTCGCGGTGGTCATGCTCCGACTCCACCAGCTCCTCCCTACAGCAACATGGCAACTCTGGAGGACCAGCTCGCCTCACACATGGCAGAACTGCATTCGCATGTGGAAAAGACCACCAGTCGACTGAGCAAGTCGTTCGAGGACAATAAGACCTGGCACATGGACCGAATCAGGCAGCAAGTCGATGAGATGTCGGACATTGCCCGGTTGATCAACGCGAAGACAATCGCCCAGGAGGAGACGCTGAACCAGACCCAACGTATGATGAAGGAGATCCGCACGGAAATGGCTGCTGTTCGACAGGACGTGCAGAATATGGAAAGCAGAGTGACTTCCCTCGTCCGGGAAGAAGTCGCCAAACTCTGCGAGGGCATCCAAAGCCTCAAGACCGGCGGTGGTCCCCGCAGCCCAGCACAGGAAGAACGACCCTGGACTGGGCTGCAGGGCCCTTATGAGAGTATCACTGGTGATAGTACAACTGGTGTCAGATATGAACAGAGACCAAGCTCGATAAGACAGCGATCTCGCCTGAGTGGCAGAAGTATGCTGAAGTTGGAGTTGTCCAGCGTGTTGAACAATCGGGAGGAGAAGGAGAGGGAGAACAACACGGAGGAGGCTCCAGTGAATCGCATCCAGAATGAAAGCACCCCAGTCACACCAGCCAGCTTCCAGAGTGAAATTCCGTCAGTTTCCGCCGAGGATCCGCTTGCGCTGCCGCACTCGGCGACAGAGAGTGAATGCGTGTCTGAACTGCGTGTTGCTGCGGAGCCTGCGCTGGCGGTCCCAAACAGAGATCTCTCTGATGATATTCTCTCACTTGCACGGCCCTCCACTTCAACTTCACGTACCAACATCACCGAGTCTTCCATTACTATTGCTTGTGGTAACTCCATTACTTCTTCCAACTCCGGGGCTGGTGCCAGTACAACTGACTCCGGGTCTCTCAATTCCACTGATCGTGTCAAAAGAACCAAGCTTTCCAAGCCCTCTGCTTTCGCTGAGGGTGAGGTCAATCCGGCTGACTATCCCGACTTGGACCCAGCCATCGCTGCAACGATGAAGTGTCCTAGCCAGATGGCGCTCTTTGGACACCGCGGCAAACGCAAGAAGACCAAGAACCCCACCGCCACCCCGACTGGGGCAGAGCTCCCTGAGCTGCCACCGGATCCGCTCAGGGCCAAAGCCCAGCGCCAGCCCAGAGACGAGCCGAAACCGAAAACTCATGGTCAGCTTCGTCGTGGCCTGAACACTCAGCGCCTACTGCACCGGCAGGATGAGCCCAACAAGGAGCACGAAGGACAGAGCAAGGACAAGGACAAGTCCAAGTCCAAGCCTGTCAAGGATCCAAGAACCATCGACCCGGACTTGCGTACGCCCCTCGAGCAGCACCTCGTCCGCGCCATTATCGAGGCTGATCCGATGATCCCCTGGGAAGTTACCGTGCGGAATGAAATGCAGAAGCATGCCGAGTCTACGCTGACCGGCTCAGCTGAAACAAGCCTCAAGTCCCGGGAGAGTAAGAAGACCCTCCGGTCAGTCGACAGTGAGGCCACCCTGAGACCAGATCCATTCTTTGACACTCGTTCGGAGTTCGAGGCTCGCGCCGCTCGCCACTACGATCAGAAGTGGGTGGCCAAAAAATACCACAATTGTCTCACCAAACCGGTGGACCCGGAGAAAGAGCTGAAGCCCAAGAAATCCGGCACCAAGCTCAGTAGGACCCTGGGACTCGGCGATAACGATGAACCGACGCGCAGAACGTCCAAGGATTCGAGCATAAAGTCTGTCACGGGCTTGAGTATCCGCACGAAGATGTCCAAGTCTGATAAGTCGGGCGGTTCAAGTGTCAAGTCGCACGGATCGTCGCATGGGGACAAGGCGAGTATCGGGCAGGGTGTCTCGACGCCGCCTGTGCCCTCCATGCCCACCACCCCTACCGTCCCCAGCATGCAGGAATTGGGATCGGAGATGAGCAGCATGACCACCGCGCAAGCAATGGGGTCGGATGCGAGCACCAACATGGTCGAAGTGCAGGAGGCATCGGGATCAAACATCGAACCCCCGATGACGGCTGAAGCAACAGTCTCAACCTTCACATCCCCCACGGTCCCAGTCACAAGATCCCCAGCATACCCCGTCCGCACGAGCAGTCTTCGCACCTCCACCAACATGCCCTCCCTGACCACCAGTATTCCAACCACTCCTACCACCCCCCGCACCCCACGCACCCCCCGCACCCTGGGCCAAGTCACCCACAACGCCGACTGGGGGATCGACGAATCCCAGGGAGACGGCACCTGGCGCGATTTCTGGGATCCTGATAGCAATGACTTTCCGGCTTACCGCCCGGGCATGTTCGACCATGATCCGATGGCCGGCAGCCTCGTGCCTCGTCCGCCGCCGAGAACCTGCGTGACGCCCGTGCCGGATGACTTGCCGGAGTATCTCAGGGCGTACCATGAGCGTCGTGCGTCCCTTGAGGAGCCGCCGATTGTGGATTACGCGAGGGGGAATCGGCACCGCGATGCGAGCATTTATACTGCTGAGGCGGATGATGTGATTTGACTTATCGGTTGTTGGCATGGCATGGCAGGGTAGGTGGGTGGAGTTTCAGCGTTGACTTTGGAAACGGGCGGAGTGGGGATTTGTTGACTTCGTCTTGAAGATAGCTTTTACATCCAAGGATTGTGATCTGGTCGGTTTCGTTTCTGTAATTGTTTTCATTTCCAATTCGTTTGTGTTCTTGCTTTTTTTCTCGCGCTTTCTTTGTTTCTGTTTCTGTTTCTGTTTCTTGTTTTTCCTTGTTTCCTTTGATTAATCTGGGGGTATGGTAATGGTAATGGTAATGATCATGATCATGATATGAACGAAAACGACAATGCGACGAAATTATGACCTGGGGAGAGAGGGGAGGGCCCAGCTTGATTTTTTCTTTTTTATTTTTGAATTGAAAACCACGAAAACAGAAATGGTTCTACCAATTCGCTTCTATAAAGCAAAGTGAGAATTGTTGTGTGGATAAGCAGCAAAGTTAAGTTTGTACTCCGTAGGGTAGACGCAATGATATTGCAACGGACAGCCCGCGCCAATCAATTAGGAAACTAATGACTTTTCATACACTCGCTGAAAAGAAAAAAGACAGATCTAGTATCTCCTACCCAGCCAAGCCTAATTCCGCGTCATGATCATCTTTTCGATATCCAATGCGACGTCTCGGATCTGAGGACAGTAGTGGTTTCGCAGCAACTCGCCCTCCCAGACCGTGCCCGCGAACACATTCGTGGTTTCGATGTCCGTGGCGAACGGATTGAAAACACCATCGCCCTTGCGCTCTTCGCTGTGCCACAACGAGGCGATGCGGCGAGCGTTGTGCCGGGCCACTTGGTTCATCAAGGAGAGGGTGGCAATCGCCGACTTCTCCGGCAGCTGCAGCGACGAGGTCATCAGCCGTTTGGCGAAGCTGCCGAGTCGCACCGGCGGGGGATTGCCGTGGGCGCGGGAGATGAGGGTGGAATGGAGGCAGCGGAGAAGGAGGACAGTCGGGGTCTGGAAGTTGACCTTCTTCCGGGGTCGGTAGATGTTGTTGGCGGCGTGGGAGTCGGGGTCGGGGAGGCGCAAGGATTTGTCAGGGTTGTATTCGACGTCGGGGTTGATGGAGAGGGTGTAAAGGGAGCGGTAGAGGTGCTTGACGAAATAGCTCAGGTCCAGGTGAAGGTTCGCGGCGGCCTTGCTGGCATCTTGGCCTTCCAGGAGCGCGAACGCGGTGACGGTGCAGAGCAGGGCTTCTCGGTGGGCATCCCGGGTGCTGGTAGGCTGGACGTCATTTTCGTCTTCTGCCTCCTCCGTGTTGTTCTCCTCCTCGTCTCGATCGGCATGCGCGATGAGTTCCTTCAGAGCCTCGAGCAAGTCACCGAAGAAATCCTGGTTGATCAGGTGGGCGTATTTGGCTAGACCCTCGAGAACAGGGCCCATGAGGTTGGGAATCCGGAGTTTCAGAATGCGGAAATAGATCCCAAACACCAGCTTAAGCGTTTCGGCCTGGTTCTTGTCTCTCTCTTCGTGCGAAACTAACGCGTCCGCCTCCTTCATATCCTTCTCGACTGCCTTTCTCTCCTTCTGGAGCTTGCGCTCCTTCTTCGTGCGGAACTCGCGTTTTTGCTTGGGCTTCTTGCCATTGAAAGTCTCCTCTTCGGGCTCGCGCTCGATTCGGTCCCTGGAGGCCTTGTGGGCGAATTCGGAGAGAAGACGGAGGCTGAGGAACGTGTCCAGAACACTTTCGTGGATTCTAAACTCCTTCGCCTTCATCAACTTCGAGAGCAGACGGACGGCTTCCAGCGAGACAACGCCATCCTCATCTTTCGCGAACACGTCCTCCAATGTCTCACGGCACTTGACGAAATCAGCGTCGACCTGTCTCCGCGCAAGACGGTTGATCAGGATCTTGAGCAGCTCGGTCCGGAAATTGAAGTGCGGTACGGCAAGAAGCAGGTTGCATGCGCAGTTAATTGCGATCGTCTTCAGACCCGCATCAACGGCAGCGGCGTCTCTCTTCTGCGGCTTGGTGAGGTCGACCAGCTTTCCAATGTAATGCTTGTAGTTCGAAAGGAGCCCTTGCTCGTAGCTGCGGAGTTTGCGCACTTCCTTGGAGACCTTGCCAGTCATCTCCTGGTCGGTGACAGGGCGGATTCGGTAGCCCGGAATGACATCTTTGAAGACTGCCGCTTGCGACGCGAGTGCGAGCTTCTGGATCGCAACGTGCTTGCTGGGGTCGACCATCTCCGCCATCGTCTTGAACAGTGGCATGTGCTCCTCTGGGTCTTCGTTGATTAACGTAGCCAATCTGGCCAGCTCTTCCTTCGCCTGAACGATCTGCACCTTCAACGGGATCTTGGGCGCTTCTTCCTTCACTTCCTCCTCGTCGTCCTCCTCGTCCGCCGCAGTATCGTCCATCTCCACGTCTTCGTCATCATCCGTCCCGAGGAAACTATCAGACTCCTCCGCTTCAAGCTCCGGCTCCTCCAGAGTCTGGAAACCTTCCGCGGTCTTGATAGGCAACCGGGTGCGCTCCTTGTCCTTCTTGCCGGCTTTGCGGGGTCGGCGCTCATAGTCTTGTTCGAGGTCCCATTCGGCGGCATGGCTGTAGAAGTCGCCCATGGCGGCACCAGCAGGTCGCGAGGACGCATTGTCATCGTCACCGGGGGGACTCACCCGTCTGCGCTTCGTCGTGCGCCCAGGAGCCATTTTGAGGTTTGCGGGTGTCTTGCTTTTCTGGGGAAGGAATCTTTTTCTCGCGGGTCGAATTGACCGAAACTTTTTTTTCCCGTCCTGGTGCCAAGCAAGAGATGGACTGGGAAAAGGTACCACTACTCCACCGCCTACTCCATCGGGTCCTACCGCCCAGAATTTTTGTTTCCGCGGAGCTTTTTTTTTTTGGCTTCGAGATTGCTGTTTTTTGATAGCCCACTTGGATTCATCTTTCGGTTTGGGTATTAATTTTACTTCATTTGAGTACACAAACTGTACTCTTATCACATTTCATCATGCGTCAACTCACCGAAGGTCAGTCTTGTTCTTGCTTCGCCCCGCGCAAAACTTGTTTCGACCAGCCTGTCAAGCGCCGGGGCTAACATTGCTACTACAGAGGAAACGAAGACGCTCTTCGAGAAGCTCAGCGCCTACTGCGGACGCTCCATCTCAAACCTGATCACGGCCGGCTCCGAAGACAACGACCGCTATGTCTTCCGCATGATCGGATCCCGCATCTACTACGTCCCGCTGTCCCTGGCCAACCTGGCGACCTCGATTCCCCGCGATAACTTGCTGTCGATGGGTACTGCGATTGGAAAGCTCACGAAGACCGGAAAGATGAGAGTAAGGACTATTGAGTACAGAGGAGCATTGGGTCTGGATTGACTGACGGTTGTTAGCTTCACATCACTGCGCTGGACGTCATCTCCCCTCACGCGCGGTTCAAGGTCTGGATCAAGCCGAACGGTGTCGCTCCGTTTTTGTATGGAGTGAGTATACTTCTGGATCTGGTTGGAATGGAGGCAGGAACAGAAGCTAATCGCTTTGGGTAGGGAAATGTTGTCAAGGCGCATGTTGGCAGATGGTCGGATGACTGCCCGGAGCATGCTGGAGTCGTTGTTCTCGATCAGAATGACACCCCCTTGGTAAGAACTCTGCGTCCCCTGGGCTCTGGGAGTGGAGATGACTGATAGGATATAGGGATTCGGAGTGACTGCTCGGTCCACCGCCGAGGCCCGGAAGCTGGAGCCCACGGCGATTGTCGTCTTCCGTCAGGCAGATTGCGGCGAGTATCTGAGAGAGGTGAGTTGTCTTGCTGTCTGGTTTTGGGCAGGTGGCTGACCCCTGTAATAGGAAGATACTCTGTTCACGACCTAGAGAAAAGTGTTGCATACGCGGAATCGATCATGGGGTTATTTTCATAGATACCTTGGGATTCTCGCAGGAGTTTTGGAGTCGTCGCTTGATCATCGTCTATGTGTTCGTTCATATGGTTGCTTCGTCTAGAAAAGTATTTCTCATGATGTCTAGCCTGGTCCTATCTGACGTACGATAATATCATTACTTGGCCATCGACTGGATTGTTACTAGTAGTTTCAAGTTTGTGCCGGAGACAGGATCCTCTTCAAATTGACTTGAGATAGGACTACTCTGTGGTAGTGCGATAAAATTTGTTGGAGTAGATATAGGTTTCAAAATAATACTACACTATCCTGGGGATGGATGATTCCATTCACTGCTGGATGCGGGGCACGTGCACGGGCGTTTCTCTCAGTCAGCGGAAAACCGCCGCCCAATTCGGCCATATCTTCCCCCAATCACGAACAAATCAAGACTGACTGCAAGAGAAACAAACAATCGCAGTCACTACCTGAATGTTCGTTCTATACCTCCAACATCCCCTTAGTGCAGTGCTCATTGCCCCCCTCATTTGTGTGATGCTTCCGTTCTGATGACCTGAGCTGTTTCGCCGCGCAGAGATTCCCCTCCAACCGCGTCACCATCTGATTCCCGCACGCCGCCGGCTGCTTCCACCCCACCATCATGCCGCCTTACTCGACGCTGCAGAAGCAACAAATAGCGCAGTTTATCAATTTCACGCAGGCAAAGGATACAGCCGCTGCAAAGGTATCTCTGATCTTCTTTTTCTGTGTCTTCTATGGTTGATCGAGGTGGTTCGATCTCACCCCCCGCTTTTGTTTGGCATCACGTGCGTGGATGAGGCTAATCGTGGGTATAGTTCCTGAAAGCAGCAAGATGGGATCTTGAAGAAGCGATTAATACGTAGGTGCATGATTCCTCGTTTGACCTGTCAGAGAAAGGTCTTGGTTTTATCTTATGACTGCGACTGGGCACCTTCTTCTATCTGGCTCATGCTAGGCCGGGGTCCGTTTGTTTGGCTTGTTTCCGGAGCCAGTTTGACGTCCTGCATCAACCTCAGCCTGAGTCGAAGTCAATCGACCGCGCGTCCCTAATTGGCTTCGAGAGTGGCAGCTCATCGCGAGGGTTCATTGTGTGCAATGGCCAGTTGAGTTCAGCTTCATCGTCATGCCCGGAGGACCACAGAGCCTGTACGGATATCAGAACAGCCTCAGATGGCTTTACCTGCAGCCAAGCCAATGGATTTGCGCATGTTCTACATCATCAATCCGCATACCCTCTGTCGCCCGCCCCAGCCAGCACGCCAGCCTAAACCATGAAAACAACGAACCCCGGCCTAGCACCGCCCCAAAAGCTCACCTCAATCTCCATACACCATCACCGAACCAAATCCCCCAAATTGCGACTAATCACTGAACCAGATACTTCCAAAGCCCCTCCGGCGCCGGAGGCAGCACCAATGCCATCAACAAAATCTTCGACAGCTACAGAGGTGCGCCGCGACTTACCCTTCACCCTCCCATTTTCCCCGTCTACCAGACTAAAAAAAAAAATTCGCCAGACTCCCCCGACGACAACCCCGACGGCATCGGCATCGAAGGCGTCATGCGCTACCTAGGCGACATCTCCGTCCAACTGGACGAAGTAACCTGCCTCGCGATTGCCGAGCTCGTCAAGTCCCCCTCAATGGGCGAATTTACGCGCGAGGGATTTCTGACCGGATGGCGAGCTGTAGGGTAAGCCAGTCCCCGCTCCCAGGACCTCAGGACCCCAGCTCGGTTACCCTTTCCGCACCCCTTCCCTTTTTTTTTTTTTAGAGAAACATCAAAAGCGAAAGAAGGAAAAGAAACCCTTTTTTATTGACAAAATGGGCAGCGCCGAAACCCTCCCTAAAATGACCACCCACGCGGCCGAACTCCGCGCGCGCCTCCCGATCCAACCGGACCTCTTCCGGCGGGTATACCGGTACACCTTCCTGCTGTGCCGGATGCAAGGGCAACGCAACCTGCAGTTCGAGATCGCGGCGGAGCAGTGGCGGCTGTTCTTCACACCGGACAACGGCGGGGTGGCGTGGAACACGCCGACGACGCCGTGGCTGGACTGGTGGATTGAGTTCCTTGAGGGGAAGGGCAAGCGGCCGGTCAACAAGGATCTGTGGGAGCAGGTGGAGGTGTTTATGCGGAAGACGGGGGAGGATGAGGGGATGGGGTGGTGGAGTGCGGACGGGGCGTGGCCGGGGCTGATTGATGAGTTTGTGGAGTTTGTGGGGGGGAAGAGGGGTGGGAATGGGAATGAGATGGAGGTGGAGTAGTAGATTACTTACGCAGTCGTCCAACCAACTTCTTATATTGTTTGACTGGGAAAAGGTGAGGGAGCTGGTACTGACTGTACGTGAGGGTGAATGGATGGTTCTCTTTCCTTTTACGACAAAGGGGTGTAGGGGTGTAGTTGACTACTTCTAAGCTTAGTGTGAATCGCAGTATCCTTGCATATACTTCAAAATGGCTATACTAGTCAATATGTGTTCATCATAGCTAGACACTTGAACAGTCGTCACAAGCCATGGAAAGGCATGTCAATTAAACATATCACATTGCGCATAGGGAGGGTTAGGTCGTGGCAAGAGCCTGCTGGCCGTACTCTTCTCAATCGTCATGGGTATATTGGCCGCCTTGCCCGGATCGACCAGCGATGGTCAGAGGTCCACATATCATATTTACAGTATCTACCGGTAGTCACCCTTGTCGTACTCGCTGCCGGGACCACGACGCTGGTCGTAACGCTGTCGCACCGTCAGAACTACTGGAATCATGCACCAGACACCAATGCTTGCTCACCTTCCGGAGCGCCTCGAGACGCTTCTTCTTCGTGTGTGTGTTGACGTAGGTGCCGATGACGAACCCAACGATGTTGAAGAACGGCACCCAGGTGTGCTCGGGCAGGAACTTCTGCGCGAACGCCAGCGCAATGGGCGAGGTCACCCAGCTGACCTTCATGACGGGCATGAACCCAGCCCGGACGGTGGCGCGGACCTGGTGGATGGTGCGCGCGCCGGCAATGATGGCCATGCTGGTCAGATACACGGCGTTTTGGATGGGGGAGACCTGTGGCGAATCGAGTTTAGCGAAGTCAGCGACCGGACATCCGGGGCCACATTGCGGGCGCACGTACGAGCAAATTGCTAGCCAAGATCTGCAGCACCTTAGCCTTCAGGCTGGTGCGCCCCGCGAACACCTTTTGAAGGATGCCGATCAGGAAATGGCCCAGCGGGGCACTGATGAACATGCCGTACAGGGCCATCTTGGGTACGCGGGGGCTGAGGTAGTGGCCATGCTTGCTGACATCGTGTGCGATCCAGGAGGCGAGGATCTCCTGCAGACCCGACAGCACACCCGACGTCAACATCTTGGTGCGCAGCGGGTTCTGCTGCAGTTGGCGGAGGTAGAGCTACATGTCGGCCGAGAGAGAGAGGGAGAGTCAGTCAGCGTCGGGGACTTGTGGGAGATGTCAACACCACGACTAACGTACAGTGAGATAACCCCCGCCTGTCAGTCGCTCGCCGACTTTGTGCACCAATTCTTTTGTGTCTTTCCGCAGGGAGGTGACGGCCTCATCTTGGAATTTGGCGGACATGGTTGCTGATGGTTGAAGGGATAGAGATTAGGCGCGCGATCTAGATGGGTGGATGAGCGATCGGAGATCCGAGATAAAGATGGCGGCAATGGCGGAAAGGTGAATTGACACTAGACAGTCTGAGCGGAAGAGGTGCGTTAGAGAGAGTGATCCAAGACCGCAATGGAGATAAGGAGGAGGGAAGATTGCGGATGGAGTGAGGTGCGGTGAGTGAGGGAGGGAGGAGGAAGTGGATAAGTTTGGGGGGAAGGAAGGGCTCGGATGGGCGTCCCGCGCGCAACAAAAAGGGACGGACCAGGGGTGGGTTTGTTTATCGGCTGAGGTGGAGGAAGAGGGAGGCTGGAGTACGGAGGAGTAGTAGTTACGGCAGTTAGTAGTGAGGTTAACTTACAATTTAGGTACCAAGTAACTACCGAGGTTCAACCACCACAATTGACTGGAACCAACACACTCCACACAATTGAGAAGTAGTATGCAATTAGGTGAACACCCACGGCAGAAAGCACGGAGATGATGAAGACCCTGGATTTGAAGAGAGAGGAATATAGGAATAAACCACGGATCCAAAGCTGGGGATGAGAGACGGAAAGAAAAGAGAGAGAGAGAGAGAAAAGGAAGAGGGCGAAGTCGGAAGTTGGGGGGAAGGAGAGAGAGTCGGCAAATGGTGTCTATTTCCGCGTCACTTCATTTCGTCGGCCGCCATCCCCTCGTCGGTCACCTCCGACCACCGCTCCCTCTGTCAGATTCAAGTCTTTCTATCCTTCTACACTACTCTAAACAACTGTTGTATATTTCTCTTGATACACTTCCCTTTCATGTTCAAATCATGTCAGCCAAAGGAGTACCCAGCTGAAGACTGTCTCCGAGCTCGCATCCTCGGATTCAGATCCCAGGCGCATTGATAGGCAAACAAGCTCGGAAAACCCGGCCTATTTCGGAGAAGGGCAACTACTACAGTGCTGTGCACTTTGAGCATGCGAGGAATCACCAGAGCTGCTTGCTCTTTAAATTGACATCTGTACTCATCCCTGTTACCTAGAAATAAAGCTCCTCGCTGATGAAACTACAGGTAGATATAGCTTAGCAATCTTAGTCCAATACCAAGGGTTCTATAATGACTTCGATCATGAGACCAGAGATGCAGTCCAACTCCTTTGTAACATTATCCATGGCCAGGGTATTCGTTCAATAGTGCATGTCACTGCACTTCTGTACCGGTGGTATCGATGACTTAGGGCTAAGTTGTCTGCCCCATGTGAATCGTTGCCCGTGCTGCGCTTTTCTAGGTGCTGCGCTGCCTCTTTGGCGATAGCCCACCACAACGACATCATACTGGTGATAATGAAACGAACAGTGACCTCTACTTATCTCAACGTAACGTTACGCGCACAAAGATGTTTTTCACTCAGCAACACGAAGGTGTGCTGGGATTTTGTTATTTTGTTGTTGTGATATCTCCTACCTCCCTTCTTCCTCCGTGTTTTCTCTGTCTATGCAATCTATCCTTTGCCATCCAAGCTTCTCATCCACCGGATAGTCATCATTTCTTTGGCTGTTTAAGATCACGTATTCTCAATCCTGTTTCTAGAGTCTGACCTCCCCTTCACTGAAAGAGACTGCAGGAGTGATTTGTCTGTTCCGTCAAGACACACCTGCTTTTTGGCCATTCTTTGAAGCTATTTGTGAAGTTACAACTTCGGTCAAGATGACTACTGCTCCTTCAGAACCAGCCCAGCCGTCCCAGCCTGATCCATCCCTCGAAGACACTTGGTAAGAACCAAACCCGAGACAGCGCTCTGTAGCAACTAAACAAGCGCGACTAACACTGTGCATAGCAGCCATGAACCAAACGAGCATGACTCCGAGCAGCTCGAGCTTGCCTCAGTTGTAGAGCTTAGCCCTGTTGCAGTGCCTGAGCCATCGGAGCTTATCGAGACCGACCCTCTTCAGGCTACGGGGCCATGGAACTTGACTGATTTTGAGAGAAGCCTGCAGTCTGCAGGACCTGCCACAAGTCGCACTGGGTATGGTCCCGCCCTAGCAAGCTTTCGTCTCTGGAACCGAGCAGACAAACTAACCATACATCAAATTCAGGACACTCGTGACAATCGCGTATCAATGTCCGGCACCCAGTCATAAACGCGCCGACGACACAGATGGCTCCGATGAGATGACCTTCGCCAGAAGGCTTCTTGCCCGTGTTGACGTGGAGAGAGAGCCTCTCTTCTCGGGTCCGGTCAATCACGAAGCACTGGAGCTGCCGTGGGAGAGACGCTCCTGTACGCATGGCCGAATGATACGAACGCCTGTAATTGACGAGTATGAAGTGTGTGATACCTGTGGAAGGAGACCGCCGATGGGTTGGCTGTACCAATGTGACATGGACCAGCCTGACCTCACTGCCCCAAGCGCCTCAGACGAGCAGATCTTGAATCTCTGGGTGGCTGCCGATGTTATTGCTGGAAAATATACTCCCGCTCAGACAGATATACTCATGAACCAGAAGCACAGTGTGTTCCGCCGAGCTCAGGAGGATGTAGTCATGTACAACCAGAGTGCCATAGTGGCTGTTGGTCACTTGCCGCTGGTCATTGAGAGCGATGAACAGGATCAAAGCACTGACTCTGACGATAATCCCCACGTTCAGCAGATTGAGGACGTCCAGCAGGACTATTACTCGGATCCTCATGATGCTTCTTACGAGCTTTCTCACGATGCTTTTCTTCCTGCTTCTTATCATGCTTCTCACAATGCTTCTCGCACTACGTCTCGCGCTACTCACTCGGCAGGAAGTCCGGAACAGGGCCAGTATGGTTACAGTGATGGTGATCGTACCAGACAGGTCGAGCACATCGAGTACGTTCAGCATGCAGATGAGCGAGGTAGTCCGCCGGATACACTTCCCTCCTCTGAAGCTGATGCGTCTGATACTTCCTCTGTCCCACCCCTATATGGAATGCCTAATTGCAGCCATCGCGCGTGCCATTGTTGTGTTCCTCAGTACATGGAGCGGGCGTGGCAAAATATGAGTGCAATCTGCCTGCCTAGATTCCCCGTCCGGCGTGCCTTGGACCTCTGCAATCGAGATACCGCGAGAGCAGAGACGGTGCGTAACCTGGGCACGCGACCCAGTCCCGTTCCGACTCCCCTTCCAACTCCGCGCTACTATGCGGATGAGACACGCAGCCCTAGGCCCGCGACTACTACCTACCGTGGCTTGACATCCAGTCCGTCGACGTCCTACCTGCCATCTTATCTGTCAAGAGCATCCCATTCGACTTCTTCGGAGTCTCCTGCGTTGACAATCACCAGTCCCGCAGCACAATCGACAGTGCATCTACCTTCGTACCTTACGACCTCGTCGACTACGATCCATTCTCCCAACGATGCAGCAACAGCAGCTCGTCCTGAAGGCACCTCCACTTCGACCGTCCCTACGTACCCTCAAGACGAGAACAGCACTGCCTCGCATCCATTCACCCATCTGCCGCCGTATTCCTCAACAACTGCGAGCCATGGCCATGCATCCTCATCCACCAACGTTCTTCCATCCTACCCAATCCGCTCCCCCACCGACGAACCCCACAGTCCTGTCGTTTACCCTTCCGATGCAGAGTTCTATCCGCCCGCCGGAAGCCGATTGCAGCAGTCATCGCGCCCGCTCCCGCCTCTCCCATCCACTTCTGGTGGCGAGGAGCTCCCCTCAGCTTTGGGCAGTTCACGCAACTCTTCGACTTCAAGTCTGGTGTCTGATTCCCCCGGCTCACGTGGGCATATGAGACACAGACGCACCGCATCCGTTCGTTCCATTCCGTCTGAGTTCATCGCACCGCCTTCGCTTGAGGATGTGAAAATCCTGCAGGAGTACAAATTGTGGCGTTGGCGCCGGAAGAAAGGATATCGGTCGTCTACGGGACTTCATCTCTTTAGTGGGTGGATGCCGGTTATACATGAGGAGGACGAGGAGGATGTTGAGGATGTTGAGGATGATAAGGGGAAAGAGAATGCTGGAGAAGATGCTGTTGAAGGCGGGGGTGAAAACGAAGAAGATGAGGATCCCGCCAGTAAGAGAAGCAAAGACAAAGGTAAGGGAAAATTGGAGCGAGTTGAGCCGGGAGATGAGTGTTATGAAGGCGAAGGCAACTCTTACTCGGATGATTCTGATCTTGAAATCTAATGACCAAAGGAGCCTAGCGCGCTTGGGAGTGTCTCCGATGAGATGACTTGTAAGTAACCTGGATTTACACTGTGGTACACTCTTGGTTGGATCTCTGGTTGCCGATATGTGAACAAGGTGGTGTGGGTGGGGGTAATTGGTGACATTTCACATGTAAGGGTATTGAGATAGTCGGTGGACTGCAGTTAATTTGACTCTGGATGGAAGAAAGGTCGAAGTTGTTGTTTAGCAGACTGAAGAGATACTCAGTACATAGTCAGTGATAATTGAGATGAAAGATACTGTACTGATCAAGTGTGTATCATTTATTATCTAGTGGGGACCCGCTAATCAGGGTGGATGCAGATGAGGAACAACTACTTAGTAAGAACTCAACTAACCCGCGGTTCAACTGATCGACTCATGGCATTCCGAGTCAATTCCGAGCCTCGGTCCGCGCGCCGAGCACCGACGGTTAATCAGATGCAGATGACCGTCGGCTCTATATCATTGCTCATCTTCCCCGCGTTGCTTGCTGGTGACAACGGTCGCAGGTTCTACAAGAAACTATCCAGACACTATGGCCGACCTTGCACCGGTTCCCGAGTCCTCTGCGAGTTTCGACGCAGCGTCACAGCAAGATGAGGGGAAATCGCCGACAGACCCAACGCGGGGATCTTCCACTGCACCATCGCAACCACAACCGCAACCACAACCACAACCCAAGTCCCTCCTCCACACTCGCCGTCAGCTGCTGGCAGCCCTGCGAGCAACAGATACCACCATCGAGCGACTGGACAAGTACGACCCCCTCCTCTCTTCGCTTGCCCCTTAACCTACATGAAAACTAATACATCAGAATAGACTCACCACCACAGCAGCCGGCACCGAACGCGTCCTCGCCGTCACAGGCTACCTCTCGCACGCCCTGCACCACCTCCTCGCCTCCGCCCCTTGGATAGCCGTCCAAACCCGCCTCAGCCTCCTCGCCCGTCTCCGACATCACCGCCTGCACCCCACCTCCAAAGCCCCCAGCGTACCCGCCAGCGCACCTCCAACACCCACCCCCACACCCCCCATCCCCGGAAAGAAAGCGAAACCCCCCCTCCTCGCCCTCTCCTCCCTGATGTCCGAAACCCGCTACACCCTCCGTCTCCTCGGCCTCCTCCCCCTCTGGACCTGGGGCGCCGCCACCCTGCGCAACCCCCCGAAAGACCGCACCCTCTATGTTTTGACCATGCTGCAGGTGGCGGTGAATATCATCTACCAGGTTTTGGAGAACGTCAGTTTTCTGGCGGCCAAGGGAGTGGTCAGTCGGAAGTGGATCGCGCGGTGGGGCGGTATCGTGCAGTGGGATTTGTGGAGTACGAGGGCGTGGTTCGGGCATATCTTTTTGCAGTTCTTTGTCTTGATTAGGGAGTGGGTATTGATGCGGAGGAGAAACCGATTGAGGAGGGAGATGAAGCAAGTGGATCTTGCTGGGAAGGAGGGGGTGGAGGCTCAGGGTGTCCCTGGACAGAAAGAGGAGGAGGCTGATGCTCGGGAGATCCGCGCGTGGAGAAAGAGTCTCGTGAATAATGTCTGCTGGGCGCCGTTGTGTCTGCACTGGTGCTTCGAAGAAGGGATTGGGTTTCCGGAGCATTTGACGGGGTTGGTGAGTTTTATGGCGGGGGCGTGGGAGTTTTGGGATTCGTGGGGGAGGACTAAGTCTTGACTCTTCTGAGATTGTGGTGAAGATGGAAGGGGTGGGCGGAGGGGTAGAGGGTATATACCAGACCTTGTGAGATTCTATGCGTAGATTTAGAACACTTGGATAGAGCTTATGGTTTGATTGCTCGGATCGATGCACTGGATAAGCGTTGATTTGTTGTGCTAGATGCTTAAATACAGGATCCAAGCTAACAAGACCAAATACATACCCAATTGCTGGAGCTGTGCTCAGCTGCGTGGCCCGGAGGCGGATAGTCCTTTTTTTGTGGTGTTGCAATTTGCGCATTACCAGAATCGTCATTATTTATCATTAGTCGTTTCATCTGTGTCATTATCATAGCATGGGTATCTTCGCGATGCAAGTCGAGCCGTAGGAATAGGGTAAGGGATCGTGAATGCGAGGTCGAATTTCGAGACGTTGTTGAGTTCAGATCCAAGTTAAAGCCTGAGCATACAAAGTGTCGAGAGACTGGTCTTCAAAGGACGCATCCTCAAGGAGGACCAACATCGCGTCGCGGGTCTGGTATGCATAGTCCTGCTCCCCAGGGATACGGTCAATGGAGAAGTGGAAATGGTCGCGACACTCGCCGCTGAAGTACCGTCTACCACAATGCTGGTAGTCAGAGAACCGATATTCAAGGGGGATGGTCTCCTCGGACTCGAGCTCGCCGGGACGTCTCTATACATTCATGTTAGAACCTCACCAAGACAGCCACACCCCCAGACACTTACAAATGTATCATATGACGGCCTCCGAAGGAACATGTCGACCGCCCAGACTGGCAGCCCCTTCCAACGCATCGTCTCCAGACTGTCGGTCCAGAGGAACGTCTCCACCGTCAACGCCTGCGTCACCCCCACCCAGCGGTCGCGCAGTCCAGGCCCCTCCTCAATGAATTCGGCCTCGACCACGATTTCGAACTGCCCCATGCCGATCCGCTCGGAGCGGTACATGGCAACGGCCGCCTCGTGCTCCACCGCGAACACCAACATCCCGTGCACGACGTCGCGCTCGTTGCCTGTAAACACCATGAACGGGTCGCCGTTGACAACCTGCTCGTACAGCCGGTACCCGATCGCCCTGGCGGGCTGCATTCTGCGGGCTATTGGCATGCTGTCCACTTCATCGCAGAAGGCCCGCACCACAGTCGGCAGCTTCAGATACCCGTAGACGAAGATTGTGTGCTTATCGGCATCGGCTAGGAGCCTGTACATCTGGCTCAGTTTGAGTTAATTATGATATGCCACCTTGTAGTTCTCCGGATACCACTCGAAGCATTCCATCGTGGTGGCACCACGGCGGCGTCCCATGAACTTTTGGGAGGACGCCAGCGAAGGATAAAGATATGTTACCGGCGGTTGGTGGAGAGGTGAGGCGAGGGTGGGTGACGGAAACATCATCGTGTTATTGAGCAACCTCATGATCAAGTCCATGAGCATGCTTGATTGTTGTGAGGTAGACCGCATAGCTCTAGGCAGCGCTCTCACGGTGTGCGCTGAGGTGAAGTCAGGTTGAGGCTATACTCTAAGACTCTGGCTGCGCATTCACCTCACCACGTGACTGAGCTCTGGATAGGTCTAAGCCATGAGGATTCATTGTCAGAATTCTATGAATAGATTAGCCAGAATACGTGTGTTAGTGAAGATGATTCACTTGCTGTCTTGTCCTCTCACTCACTAACTTGTGGCGTTTGCGTGGCAATGCAGCCATCCTTTGTTTGTCATGAGATGGTTTCCAGTCATGTTGAGAGTACTGTACACAGAAAGCGCCTGCATACAAGCACTAGGAAGGTGCATAATTTCCTTCAATTGTTAGAAAGAAGTAGTGTGTTCAACAAAGCCTCATGTCATGTTGATGTGTATATGATATTGCTGCCTGAGGCACCGACACAGCCGTGCTGGCAAGAGCCAAGAGGCAAAGTTTGAAAATAAGGCCAGATCGATACTGCTTCAGGCACTAAAACCCTGGACTCATTGACTGCTAGGCTACTAGTTCGAACCGTTTCCCCAGCTTATCAAGCACCCAGCTATTGAGGCCGATCATAGAACTCAGTCACAAATTGTGGATACGACTGGCTTCCATGCGGTTCTTCCCCAGGCGGTGGCGGCGGGCATGCGAAAATCAGTAGGCGGTGGAGGCGCTGCAAAAACAGCTTAAGTCATCAGTTTCCCGCCAGGCCCTGGCGCTATCGTCACCTCTTAACCCGGAAGCTCTTCTGCCAACGTACTGTCTCACTTCCCATCCATCCTCCCTCCCTCTTCCCCCATCCCACTCCACCACACCTTCTGCTCTATCACCTTTCATCTCTCCCTCCAAATTGCGCCATCTCTCAGACATATCTTACTGTCTGTCGAGATTTCATTCTACCCCCCCATCTTTTCTTTTCCTTCCACTGCCACATTGCCGGTTGCCGAACTCGCCTAAACCGGTACGGCAACAGTTCCTGCTACCTTCCGAGTGACTACCCTGCTTTACGCGCCTTTCTTCAGACTCCATCATCAACATGAGCGCAGAGCCAGACCACACCCACGACAAGAAGAGGGTTAACCTCAAGTAAGTTTCCATCCATGAGGATCCCAGCTGGCCCCCGCTTGCTAATGCATCATCCCAGTGACCCCTCGGGCGCCGAGAAGAAAGAGGTAAAGACTTTGCCATCGGACACGCAGGTACCTGGATGGCAATACTGACGTCTTTCGTTGCAGGAGCTCGACACTTCTACTGCTATTCTCAAGAAGAAGAAGAAGCCCAACTCTCTGATGTAAGTGTCTGCGTCATCGTCCCGTCGATGGGGACCGAGGTACTGACCGACTGTGTTTGTCTAGTGTCACCGATTCCGTTAACGATGACAACTCCGTCATTGCCCTCTCCAACAACACGATGGAGACCCTCCAACTCTTCCGCGGTGACACCGTTCTCGTGAAGGGCAAGAAGCGCAAGGACACGGTTCTGATTGTCTTGGCGGACGATGATCTTGATGACGGCAGCGCTCGCATCAACCGTGTTGTAAGACACAACCTCCGTGTTAAGCACGGCGACATGATCACTGTCCACCCCTGCCCCGACATCAAATATGTAAGTTGGATCGATCTGAAACCGGTCTTTACTGAATGGAGCTAACCGCGGTTGGTGTCATAGGCCAAGCGTATTGCCGTCCTCCCCATTGCCGACACTGTTGAGGGCCTCACTGGCTCCCTCTTCGATGTCTACCTTGCCCCCTACTTCCGCGAAGCCTACAGACCCGTCAGACAGGGAGACCTGTTCACAGTACGAGGAGGTATGCGACAGGTGGAGTTCAAGGTTGTTGAGGTCGATCCCCCAGAGTACGGTATCGTGGCCCAGGACACGATCATCCACTGCGAGGGCGAGCCCATCCAGCGTGAAGACGAGGAGGGCAACCTCAATGAGGTCGGTTACGATGACATTGGTGGCTGCCGCAAGCAGATGGCTCAGATCCGTGAGTTGGTCGAACTGCCTCTGCGCCATCCCCAGCTCTTCAAGTCCATCGGTATCAAGCCCCCTCGTGGTATCCTCATGTACGGTCCCCCCGGTACCGGCAAGACCTTGATGGCTCGTGCTGTTGCCAACGAGACTGGTGCTTTCTTCTTCCTGATCAACGGTCCCGAGATCATGTCCAAGATGGCTGGTGAGTCCGAGTCCAACTTGCGCAAAGCTTTCGAGGAGGCCGAGAAGAACTCCCCGGCCATCATCTTCATCGATGAAATCGATTCCATCGCCCCTAAGCGTGAGAAGACCAACGGAGAGGTCGAGCGTCGTGTTGTCTCCCAGCTCTTGACCCTCATGGACGGTATGAAGGCCCGCTCGAACGTCGTCGTCATGGCCGCCACCAACCGCCCCAACTCCATCGACCCTGCCCTTCGTCGTTTCGGCCGTTTCGATCGTGAAGTCGACATTGGTATCCCCGACCCCACCGGCCGTCTCGAGATTCTGTCCATCCACACCAAGAACATGAAGCTGGGTGATGATGTTGACTTGGAGACGATCGCTGCCGAGACCCACGGTTATGTCGGTTCCGATCTTGCTTCTCTGTGCTCCGAGGCTGCCATGCAGCAGATCCGTGAGAAGATGGACCTGATTGACTTGGATGAGGACACCATCGATGCCGAGGTTCTCGACTCCCTGGGTGTCACCATGGAGAACTTCCGTTACGCTCTTGGTGTCTCCAACCCCTCCGCGCTGCGCGAGGTTGCTGTCGTCGAGGTTCCCAACGTCCGTTGGGAGGATATTGGTGGTCTCGAGGAGGTCAAGCGCGAGCTTATCGAGAGCGTCCAGTACCCTGTGGACCACCCCGAGAAGTTCCAGAAGTTCGGTCTCTCGCCTTCTCGTGGTGTGCTGTTCTACGGTCCTCCTGGTACTGGTAAGACCATGCTTGCCAAGGCCGTGGCTAACGAGTGCGCTGCCAACTTCATCTCTGTCAAGGGTCCGGAGTTGCTGAGCATGTGGTTCGGTGAGTCCGAGAGCAACATCCGTGATATCTTCGACAAGGCTCGTGCCGCCGCCCCTTGCGTCGTCTTCCTCGACGAGTTGGATTCTATTGCCAAGTCCCGTGGTGGATCTGTTGGTGATGCTGGCGGTGCTTCCGACCGTGTTGTCAACCAGCTCCTGACTGGTAGGTTTTCCCGTTATTGTTTCAATGGTTCATAGCTAACTTGTCTCAGAAATGGATGGTATGACCTCCAAGAAGAACGTCTTCGTCATTGGTGCCACGAACAGACCCGAGCAGCTGGACGCTGCTCTGGTCCGTCCCGGTCGTCTGGATACCCTGGTCTACGTTCCTCTGCCCGACCAGGCCTCCCGTGAGAGCATCCTCAAGGCCCAGCTCCGCAAGACGCCCGTTGCTCCCGATGTCGACATCGCTTTCATCGCCAGCAAGACCCACGGCTTCTCCGGTGCCGATCTTGGTTTCGTGACTCAGCGTGCTGTTAAGCTTGCTATCAAGCAGTCGATCAGCGCCGACATCGACCGCATGAAGCAGCGCGAGGCCCAGGGTGAGGACGTCAAGATGGATGATGAGGAGCTGGAGGAGGAGGACCCGGTGCCCGAGCTGACTCGTGCTCACTTTGAGGAGGCGATGAAGTCGGCCAGAAAGTCGGTCAGCGATGTGGAGATCCGCCGCTACGAGGCTTTCGCGCAGAGCTTGAAGAACTCTGGCGGCAGCACCTTCTTCCGCTTCCCCTCGTCGGGCGAGGTGGCGGACAACAACACTTTTGGCGAAGCCGGCAATGATGACAGCCTCTACGACTAAACTGTATTTTCATGTTCTGTTTCTACGCACTAAGTTAGATAAGCGGGGTGAGCCTCGACTCAAACACGTTGGTTGACTTTTGTTATTATTTTCTCTCTGGTGCTAAGATAGCTGTGATCTAATAGCCTATGAATTCGGGTGTGGTAGATATTGCGTGTGTGCAAAATCATGAAGTAGTAAGATTGGTATCTAATATGCAATGCCCACCCTAAACACCAGATGGAACCCAAGACAACGCCGGATGAGGATAGCAAAACCGAAAGTCCATGATCCCGTCGACAACACCCACCCAAAGTAACTCAAGAGTCTACGATCATTAAACAGATAGAAGAAGCCAGGCCAGCGGATCATTTCGCCTGCTTGGCCTTGACCTTCTTATCGGCTTTCTTGACGGGACTCCCACTGGCCCCGCTCGTCCCATTAGTCTCCCCATTTTTGACCCCTTTGATGCGATCTTTGGCCCCTGGTGTTTTGGTAGTGGTCGTAGCATGATCATTCCCTGACGCCTCCCCACCACCACCACCACCACCCCCAGATCCCGAATGGTCGGCCTGATCATCCCCTTCCAGAACCACCACCTCGCGCAGCACCTCTTTTATAGCCCGTACGCCTTGCTCAACCACCGAGGACGGAATCCTCACATCCACATTCTCAAAATATCCCGTAGCATTGTTGGTGGCATCATCATCATTCCCCTCATCGTTTCTCGACCGACCGTTTCCAGTTTGGTGGTGGTGGTGGTTGTTATTCTCGTCCTCCTCTTCCCTTTTTATCCTCCCGTTTTTGGATGGGTTCTGGTCGTGTGGGTGTGGGTGGGTGCTGGAAAGAGACGGATGTCGTCTCCCCTCGGCGGACGCGACGACGGCTTCGATCACCTCGTCGAAGCGCTCGCATCGTCCGCCTCGGAGGAGCTCCTGCGCGAGTTTTCGGACTCGTTCCGTCCAGCCGGTGCGTTGCAGGGAGGAGAGGAGAGTGTTGTGTAGGTCGTCGAGGGCGTTGGGGGTCGTGAGGAGGTGGGTTAGAAGGTCGGTTTCTAGGTCTGAGGGGTGGTCGGAGGAGGAGGAGGAGGTGGTGGTGGTGGTTGAGGGGCGGGATGGGGTTGATGTGCTTGTCATTTTGACAATGGTAAGTGGTGATGATGCTGGCTGTAGTTTGCGCTGTGGAGTGGTGGATTGGAGAAATTGAGGATTGAATGCGATGGATGTGTGTTGTAGTTCGTAAGTACTCTTCTGGTTGGAGATGGAGGTGCGGAGGAAGAGACTCGCGTGTGGAGTGGAGGTTTAGCTTTGGGTGTGCGGTGGCGATGGTGAAGTGTGTGCTGCTGCTTCCTTAAAGTGCGTTTTCGTGAGTCGATTTGATCCGCGGTAGGTGGTTTGGGTTGTAGGTATGTTGTCTTGTGGTTGTAGGGAGAGTGGGTAATGTTGGTTTCTGCACTCGTCGACGCGACTGGAACGTAGCAGTGGTCGCAGGTGGTACTGTGACTTTAGCAGGATGGGCGAGGGGAAATTGCGGGCGGCGGCGGAGGTGAGGGCGGTTCCGAATCTCGATCCGATACGCCCGGTAGATCTGCTCGGCTACCCGCGCGCCAGCTGTGACATTGTTGATAGGATGGTGGGATTTTACGTATGTTGGTTGCAATTGGGGAGGTTCTATTCTAATTCTATGTAGAAGCTGACTGGTTGGGGACTATTGTCCAAGCAAGTGGCATTCCGTGTCAGGTGAGAGAAATACTATGTGTCTGTCCTATTCTTTGACCCCGTAGTGGCTTATTTGCTAGTAGTGTTATACATCCCCTCCTTGCTTGCACACTCCACCGGAATAGTACGCCGTACACGCCGTACTTCGGCGGCATCAGACCATGCAACGCCCAAGGCTTGATTTCAGGGAGACCGTGATAATAATAGCATCATCACTGCACACTGCTCACCCCGGCGGCGGCGCTCCGGGGCAAGTCGGCACACAAGACCACGATGCAATCATTGCGCCGGACAGCCCTTGCGTACATCCACGTACGTGGGCTCTGCAGGGCTGCACTACGTTTTTCTTCTTGGGTTGGCGCTGGCTGTACGGAGTACGGCGTGATAAACCCATGAATCCATGCTCACGCCGCCAGGTTGGGGCCCTAACCGCGATGGCTGCGCGCACCACCACATGTTCGTGTAATGCTTTGCTTCCTGGCTCGTTGAGGTGCTTGTGTGACCTGCGCGATCGGAGATTACTCTCGGTTTGGTTCCTGCTAGGTGTTGCTTGGGGAAGTTATTGTGCCCGAGCGTACCGACTGAGTACTGTTAGATGTCTCCTGAAGACATCATCGCGGGGAGATACTAGTATAGTCCGGTCGGATTAAGACTGTTCCGCTTTGGCACAAGGTGATGATCTCGGAAGTGGAAGGATCTTCCTCGGAAGTCATGGTGTTGTTAGTGTTCGTTAGTGAGTGAGTATAGTGATTACTACGTAGATACTATACGGGATGTACTCGTAGATCGAGGTGGAGCATGCTTGTGCTCCTTCACACCCCCTGTCGATGCCAAGTATAGATGTCTTAGTGACCGTTGTTGACCCATCGCGGCTGGCAGCTTAGATAGTAGATCCGACGTCCGTGATCCAAGGGAAAACACCACCGTTGCATGATAGGATGAGACAATGTTTCTGCCTGGCTTCTCTCTGTGCTTTGGGTTTGATTTGTCCATGATGCCAGTAAAGTGAGCCATTACAGTAGTAGTAGCCATGGCCGGGTGACGAACTGGATGATTCCGAATAGCCGGCCTTGGTGGGTGATATTTGTCTTGTGCGCATGACTCTTGTCTTAGACATTGATGATCATTGATTCAAAAGCAATCCGAATGAAAGATGGCACCTTCTAGAAGGAAGTTTAATTCAATTACCTCCTCCTCGGCCCCATCGAACTCCCAACTCAACTCCGAGGTCCTGAAGACTCAGCGACTTAGGCTCAGACCCGGAAAAGGGGGCGACTATCTTAGTATATTGTGGATTGTCTGGCTCCAGTGCGTTAATAATGCTAGTGTTGATATAGGGCTGGCAAGAGCGCCCCCCGACTGATTAGATGACACGATTGGCCACTAGGCATTGGGCAAGGGAATGCCGCGCACACCCATCAGGGTCAGGGTCGTGGTCGTGGTCGATACGCACACAGAAAATGACTTGGCGACCGATAGTCTACTTAACAGACGCGCATTAATAACTTAAAAAGAGTTCTCCTGCGGGTGGGTAAAGGAGGAATGACGGCGGAGGGTTCGGAAAGGATGGAGCAGTCCCCCAAAGCGTCCAGTCTCCGGCACTATTGGATTTTTGACAGGGCACGGGAAATCGTGGAGCTTTGGGCTTGTCCGTTTCTCGGTTGGTCCGAACTTGCATCGAAAATAGTTCCCTCGCTAGTCTCCCCCGTAATCCAGGGGAGAAAGTCATTTGGGGCGCTTGGCGTCGATACTCATTCGATGTTCTCTGCTGTGGTGATGCTGGATCATTCCCCGAGTCGTGGATCCGGGGAAGGGGAAGCTGGAGGAATGACTGGTCTTGGTGGGAGACGGTGATAGGAATTTGGGATGTTGGATGGAGGAGACGGTGGCGTTACCTCTGCGGGAATTTCCTTATTGCAATGTTGAGTGCAATTGATCAGAAAGAGGATGATAGAGTGATAGAGTGATAGAGAAAGAGAGAGAGAAAGAGAGAGTGTGTGTACATGTATGTAATTTACCTATACTCCATACAGATGGTCCAGACCGCGGAAGATCACGTGCGACGATCCAACATTAGAAGCGCCTCCGCGCCCAACCAGCTTCTTGCTGTGCTGCTGCTGCGCTGCTGCTGTGCTGCTGCTCCTCTCACTTACAACCGACCTTGCTTTTTTCCTTCTTCTTCCTCTTCCTCTTCCTCTTCTTTGAGTCTCTCTCTCTTAAAGACAGTAGAGATACTGTCAACTCTCCACCATTCTTTCTCCTCCTCTCCTCCAACCTCGTTACTTCTTACTGTGGTCGAATCATCCATCCGATCTCCTCATCTTCCCCCCCCAGCTTCCCCGCTCTCGCTGCATGCCTTTGATTATTAGCCTTGTTGGCCTCAGGAACATCACTCCACGCTCCTCAATCACGGCCATCATCCACTATTCGCCTCATTTTTATTCGCCTTGACTCTCTGTCCTCAGCTGTCGTCCTCCCAGTTAATCCTGTCTATCCCCCGCATCTCGTCCCAGCCATCTCAACCAACCCCCGCCGTATCTGACACGAGCCGCTTGCCGACCCGAACCTCGAATCCTGAAACCACCATCGGCGCTATTGAGAGTCCTCCATTGTTCCCCTACAAACCATCCAAGATCCTCAATATCCCCGCATCGGGCACCCTCATTTCAGGTTGACCGTGCTGCACCTGGCGCTATCTGAGTTCCTGTCAGCCGGTCCGACGTCCGTCCCACCCCTTCTTCGTGCTGGGCGTCGTTGCCGGTCTCATCCTTCCGTTTACCATGTCTCTCCACACTTCCTATCACGCCGACTCCGATGCAGATGACGAGTACGAGCGCAGTGTCATCACATCCCCTCACCTAGCCGACGATTCGGAAGCATCCCCCTCCGAGTCCGATTTCCCTTCCGCCGAACATACCCCAACCACCCTGGCCAATGTCGACGACAACCCTCGCTCTCCCAAAACAATTATCACAGAATGGACGGCCGAAGAGTGCGCACATTTTGTCGCGGCTCTGGGCCTTCGTCAGTACTGCGCGGCTTTCCTGGGTGAGTGCTCCGATAAGACCGGCGCGTTTGGCGTTCACCATTGCTGACCTTGGATGGGTTCACAGAGAATGAGATCGTCGGCGAAGCGCTTGTCGCGCTGAAACATGATGAGCTGAAGGAAATGGGTATTGCCAGTGTGGGACATCGATTGACCATCCTCAAAAGCGTGTACGAAACCAAGGTCAAGCAAGATATCCCGCTGGACGCAGATCACTACATTCCTCTTTGTACGTGTTTGAGACCTTTGGTTGGGAACATCCACTAACTCACGTGTACAATAGCTGCCGACCAAAGTATGAACGAAGGTGCAACGCAAGATGATGTCGCTCGTTTGATCCAGTCCATCCGATTGCGAGACGAACGGATATTCACGGTGGAGGCAGAGCTGCGGCGTATGGCAGAAGACTACCGCCGACTTCGAGAGGAACTCCTACCTGTTTTCAAGATGGCCAAAGATCGATCGCAACCGCTCCCGCCCCCTTCGGCGCTACCTGGGCCTGCGCCCGAAGCATACCACGAGCCCCCGAATCTGACTTCTCCTTCTGGCATCACGATCCTGGACCGCTCAGGATCGATCCTTTCGAGGACATTCTCCAAGCGGGGACATACTGGAGGGAGTACTCCCAAGACCAGCTCCCCTACTTATATTCCGCCGGCCATTCACGAAGGGCGCATGTATGGTGATGCTGGTGGGCTGGATCCGTCCACGGCAAACTCATCTCACATGGCCATGATGAACGGCAAAGCACAGCTGTCGCCAGGCATTCCATCGCCGACGTCGCCAGGGAACCTTCACACGCAGACGCTGGCTTCACGAGCCTACTCGCAACCGAGCTCCACCAGCGTTAATAACGCCTCGCACAACCACCACGACGACACTGCCCCCTCGCAATCCCGCTCCGACAGGTTGAATCCTACCCCAACGCAAGCCACCCGCCCTGATATCCCGACACGGTCGGATTCCCGAGCAACTGGGGATCCTCCGAGCGTCGAGATCTTCAAGTCTTTCCGAGTTTCAATGGACGATCCCTGCCATAAGGTTCTCCCCGCCGCCTTGAAGAAGTACAATATCAATGCGGACTGGAAGCAGTATGCGCTATATATTGTATATGGTGACCAGGAACGGTGCCTTGGGCTGGAGGAGCGGCCGCTGATCCTGTTCAAGCACCTTGAGAAGGAAGGACGGAAGCCGATGTTTATGCTACGAAAACAAGCCCATCCCGACAGCAATATGTATGCCACGGGTGGGGGGTCTGCCCCGAATAGCGCCGGCTTTGACGCTCGACAAGCCCAGATCAATTTACCCGGTGGAGTTCTGTGAGCATAGCATTTCTCGATGAAAGGTCTTGTGATTCACTTTCTTGCTTGCGATACCCCAGGCGCCTCTGGTGACCACCTTTACACCATTTTCTCCATACTGACCTATTTACTTTTTTCTACCTTGACGAGCCTTCATCTATCTCTGTGGCGTGCATACGTATCTCATAACATGGCGTTGGTTGGCTTCAGAGGTACCGCGGAACTGGAAAAGCAAAGCACATTGACAGCGTGGTGATTTCAGGGTTCATTTTCTATTTGATTCATGTCCATATACTTTACTTATACTCCCCTTAATCTGTCCTCTGATATGAAATGTCTCCATGCTGCATCTCAGGTCTCCTGATCCTAACTCTGAATCAATTATTATCGTGAGAAACCTTTGACAGAGCTGCGTGCCTAGCGTTGCAGTTCTCATGATTCATTTAGAAGTCATTGTGCTTTACGACGTTATGAATTAGCTCCAGGATCTCGAGGACTCGCCGGATCGGGGAAACGGAGCAAGCATTCGGATTTTGAGGCTGAGAAGTATACTCGTTACCATCATATCTGCCACAGAGTGTTCTGCAAACCAATCACGATGAGATGATCGTAATATTCTACATGAAGCTTTGCTCGCTCAGGGCTCTATTTCGTGCAATGAGACTGCTGGTGGGCTGATCGCTGACGTCGAGTGCAACAAGAACTCAAAGTCGAGCCAAACTTTGCATTGGGGTTCTTTGTTGGTGGTTCGTATCTGGTCAGGAATGGGATGAAGCTGCGGGTATCAACGGCTAATCGTGGCCAAGCAGAGCCTACAATATACTATACACTCCTCGCACTGAACATCCTCCACCCGATCCAGATTGTTGAGACTCTGCCGTCCCTACAGTAAAGATGCTGAAACATGGATATTCCCATCTCCCACCTACCCAGGATAGAGAGCGATCCTGGAGCGGACAAGCAGCACAGGTATCTACATCACTGAACACTTTACAACCATAGCCTTTGTGGAATACATTAGGGTTACTCACACCTCATCTATCATCATGTAAAACAGCTAACCTACGCCGGATTCTCCGACTTGGTAACCAACGAGCAGGGGACGCTAGCCATCGTCATCGCCATTCGCGACGCGACTCACCTCGTCGACTTCTTCACCTACCAGTTCTCCCCACTCGAGGCCTCCTCCCCTACCACGCCGTCGCGTGAGTCGACTCGGGGCCTTCTGGCCCATCTCCACGGGTACAGCCAGAAGCATCAGGAGAAGCTCGTCGCTGTCGGGCTCTCCGAGGACCTAGAGCGGAGATGTCCAGGGTTGTGTTCCCTCCTCTGGCGAGACCTGGATGCGCTACCGCTCGTGCTGAAACATCAAGATCATGCACGTCGGCCGGAGGAGCCGGGCGATCTCTGCGTCTTCACAAGCTGGGAGGAGAAGACTCCGGATGAACAGGCGGACTCGATGGCGAGGAAGTGCTTGAGGTGTGTGACTTGCTTATTCTAGGATCATAGTGGGGGGCGGACTTCTGCGTTCACAGCTGACATCGTGATTCTAGATCATTTGGCGTGGGGCATTTGATCCACAATCAGATTCACGCTAATGGGATGGTGGACGTGGATAAGAGCTTCTGTGTCCGCTTCGCTGCGGCAGATGACTATCGGCGGACGGTTAGCGAGGAGCTATGGGGTTTAACACGAGCCCTCGCGCAGGATCTTGTGGCGAGGAAGGTGAAGATGGCGTTTTTCAGTATGACATGTCAAGGGAAACCAGATGTACATACTAGACACGCCTTGGTGCGGCTGTGTCATATCCTAGGGGTGGATGTTAAGTGGTGAGTCTCCGGCTCCTCTTTGGAACCAACCTCTCTCGCAGGAATTATAGTAATCTTCCTGCAGGTACGTCCCCAAGCCGCGCCCGAATATCCAGCAATTGATTCGCAAAATGGAGGATATCATGGAAGGGCTCGCGGATCCCGCCGTGGATTTTGAGACAGAGGACCAGCTCCAAATCCTCGAGTTCGCCTACGAGAATGCGCGACGGCACTGGCTGGGCGACCATGGGCCCCTGCGCGGCCGCCACCAGGGAGGAGCCGACGTTGTTGTCATAGACAGTGCGCCGTTGCTGACGCTGGCGCTGTTGGCGAAGCAGCATGATCCGGAGCGACCGGTGGTTTTCGAGAATCGATTGCATGCTCCCTCTGATGTGCTGTCGCAGCATCCTGCACTTGCGCAGGTGAGGGCGTGGCGCTTCGTGCAAGCCAGGTTGGAGCATGTCGATTCGTTGATTACGACCCTGCCGCGGGAGCTCGCGCCGGGGCTTATGGCAGAGGAGAAGGTTGGTTATATACTGCCTTCTGTTGATCAGTAGGTGATTGATTCCGCTGGTTTTGCAGGATGCGATGCTAACGCCAGCCATAGGCTCGATGGTTTGAATAAAGCGATGACGGACTCCGACATGTCGTTTTATGGTCAGGAGCTCAATTCCTCATGCAGGACATTGGGAACTCCAGGGATCCAGTATCCGAAAGGTATGAATTGATTCAGTCAGTGCAGCAGGGGGAGGAGTGAAGAAGAGTGTGAATTTGACAGTTCAAATCGGATGCTGCAGAGCAATATATCCTAAGCCTGTCCCAACTTCGTCCCGGAGACGGCACTCTCGCTCTCTTGGACGCTTACGCCACGTTTTGCAGGAGTTTTCTTCAACAACAAACCAACAACACCACCGACACCACCACCGATAATAACAACCATAGTACGCATACATTCCCCAAACTGCTGATCTGCCACCACGGCCCCTCGCGCAGCCCCGAGAACTCCCCGCAGTATGAAGCTCTTCTCTCCCATATCCACACTCACATGCCACCGTCTGTCGCCTCGCGCGTCTGCATCATCCAACTCAGCGCCCAGGACCAGATGTGGAACACCCTGCTCTCCAACGCCCACGTGGTTGTGCAACTTGCGCTCTGCCAGGGTATCCCCGAGGTGTTGGTCTGGGCGATGCGCAAACACCGGCCGCTGATCACCGTTGCTGAGGGAGGATTAGTGTGTGCTTTCGCTGGAACAGGGGGAATTGGAGGGACAGAAATGCTGCGGCTTGTCGATAGCCCCTCCGATGTCCATGCCGTCTCTCGCCATTTGGATCGTGTCTTCGCTGACCGGGAGGTGTCTCAGCGTATGACCCAGGCCCCGAGTAGAGAAGAGTGTTTGTCTGAAGCTGCGACGACGGTGGGGAATGCTGCCTGTTGGATGTTTCTTGCGTCGAGGATGTCTCGGGATAAGGCATTTCAGGCCCGTGGGAGGAATGTTGCGGAGTTGGTGCGGCTGGATGGTTTGGCGGCTGAGTAGGTGAGAGGAATAGTTGTTATTGGGTAGGCAGTATGTTTTGGGGGGAATTTTTTTGGAGCGTGGCTGAGAACTTGGTTTATACTGTACTAACTGAAGCGTAGTCGAGGACTTAGTCAATATATGGGTATTGAATTAAGTCGTCGATTGGCAGTCCAAAGGAACTACTGTATAAGCTTCGAGATTCTCGTATGCGGAGTGAGCAATATTCGTTAGTGATAACCGAGATTGCTTTCCTCGGGGGAAATGCTCGAAGCTTCTTGGACCTTGACGAATATAGCAATACAAGACTAAGCCTTTGTGACAGGAAGATTGACACTGTCTGCGTCGTTCTGTTCTTGATGGGCTTGTCTGCTATGCCCTCCGCATGTGGTTTTCGTGTTTGGGTGGATCATGGATGATGGTAACAAGTCTTATTCACCATGGCTCTATCCTACTCTATCATATTCATTCGGGGGACTATTTTCATGCAAGAGGAATGTATCTGTAATGGCTAGTAGCCATGGTGGAGTGACAGTTTGTTCGTTCTTGATATTCACCAAACCATGGAATTGGGGCTATGTGTCAACTCCTGATAGTAAGTATGGAGTGAAGAATGAATGTACTCATTCAATGAACAACCTCTATTGTTCATTCACAACTACCCGCATCCTGGCTTTACCCCCACCTCCAGCTCCTCTCCTTCCTTTCCTCCTTTCTCTTCTCCATCTCTCTTACAACCACCTTAGTCTTCTCTTCCACACCCTGTTGCCTCTACATATTACTACCATCAACAACAATATCATCACCATCATCATCATCGTCATTACCACCAACATGGCCAGTATAATCCCTATACGATCTCCCTTTCCCTCTATTGCGATGTCTCTCCTATATCGTCAAAAGCATCAGCATAAAACTCCCATCCCCAACCTCACAGAGAGAGGATCTACTGCAGAGAAGCCACGTGCTCTTCATCATCTTTCGACGCCGTCTGGCCGATGTCCCCATCGTGCCAAAAGTCTTCTTCTGTATGCACTGCCTTCGGACAAGTATTACGAAGTTCGACGCCACCAATGCCGAGAACTTCGCATCCGGTTGTGTGTTTGATGCCGTTGCGTCGGTGGCGTGTAAATAATATTCCAGTCGGAACTAGGTTTACTATCAGGTACGTTTCGATAGCTTCTCGGTGTTTTATTAGGCTAATAAGAACTAGACGTCCGTGGGGATACTTGGCAATACTACAGAATTCTCACAGATTCTGGATTGGTACCTGGAGTTCTTTGTTAATCATGCTGCTCCTAATCAAGATCTAGATTAGGACCTGACGCTCCGGATCCAGATCGGTTACTTGGCCCTGGCTCTGGCCACCAGTTTTAAGGCGGCCGAGCTTGCTCACCGTCATGAGCATGGACTAATTAGTAATAGCAAGTCGAAGGTCACTATACATTCTCCCATCGATTCTCTATTGATTCGTGAGCTAATTTACTAGCCTAACCTGATTCCCTATCGCTCTTTCCTTGCGGCTCGGCGTGCTCTCGCGGAGGATCCGACCCTGTTATGCCTCTTGCCCGTCGATGACGGGTTTCTTCTATGGACGGGGGCCAAACAGGCATTCTTTGAGGGAGTTTGCCGCGAGGTGTGCTCTCTACAGATGATTAGTTCTTCTTACGCTGCGTGCCGTCGCGTGCGATCGCCAGGCTTCGGTTGCGGATCGGCACACCTTCTATCTGACTAAACGCTGCGGCCGACTCGAACTACCTGACAATTGACTGACGGCCCTTCGAAGACTTTATAGGGATGAGATTGAGATAGTCTCGGAAGTGTACTAGCGATGGCCCCCGCTTATCCTGTTTCTTGAGCTATGGACTTTACATCATGGGGTCGTTTCCAAACCCCACCATTGCGGTGGTCTCCGGTCTACTGCGTTTCGATTGGAACGCGACACTGAACAAGATGAAATCCGGCTCTTGTCATGTCCCGGGCATCAGAGATGAGACTTTGGCAAAATCCAAGAGCCGCCACACGATCCAAGGTATTACCCGCTGTGCTGATGAGAAGCAACTCTGATCGGTTGTTCTATCAATACGGAATCACATTCGATCATTCACTATACCGGACGAAATGAATGCAATTTGGCATTACGAAAACCATCTCTCGAGAGGCAATAATGCAAATATCTCGTCAGCACTCCCTGACACCCCTTTGAATAGCCTTGTCCTACCGCAGAACACCTTGCCAACTTTCACGGTACGCCGCGATTAAACCCTAATATAACTGATCCTTTTACGAACCCAAATCCCCTGCCAGTGTACACTCCCGACGAGTGAATGGTGGAATCCACGGCCACTTGATTATTGGCCTCCATACGGCGTACAACCCAGCAATGCCTGGGATTACACGGCGATTAAACTAAAATCCAGGCACCGGAGGTCACTAGAATTATTCGCGACTTTTCATTAATCAATCTCCCATCTCCCAACTTCTTACGGCCTCCTTGGTCCTCAAAGAGTCGGAACCATCTCATTCGCTTTATCAATCAGCGCTGCTTACATCCAAATCTGAGACATGGCTCATCAGCCTCGTTGAGTTCTGCCGGCAGTCTTGCAAGTCGACGCACGGGTTATCTCTGATTTCAATAGTTGTCTTTCCGCGGACTATGAAGCTTACATTGCTGTATTTGCTGACGTATTATCTCGTGCATATACAGAGACACAGTGACCATCATTCCATAAGCCGCTTGTCCTTTCCCTAGATATACACGCACAGCAGTCGCGATCTGGCGAAGAAATATCTAGAGGATGGGTTGTCAGATATGAGATGTTCATTTCACTGATTAAGAGTGAGACCCGGACTGCGACCATCAGACCATGGCACAATATTCGCCGGTGGTTGAATGCGACTGAATCCAATCCGCAGATAAATGGCCTACCCTCCCACCATGCTTTTTGCACTTAGAAGCGGAGCTTCTACAAGAGCCTCTCGGGTCAATGAATATGTGCTCACGGCTGCGTTGATCATCCAGCAGCCAGGGTGTCTACCCGCATTGACTTGATGCCTGGACTGCACGCCGTGATTCAGGCCTGGGCACTCAATAAGAAGAGATTCTCAACGATGGAGTGAAGGGCCCTTGGATATGGGTATGTGTTGTGGCGTTGTCTGCGTCTCTGCTCTCTTTCCAGCTGAATGCAGTCATCAAGGGGTGACCAGTCTCTCTTGTTCGCTAGCTTGAAGAGGAGCGGCCGTGACTCTTCGCTATCCTCGTTGTCTGTGGTTGAGGCATGTGGTTTGACTGGAAACAAATCTGGAAATTGAATACCCGACTACCCACGGGGACCTGCCGGTACCACAAATCGCGAACTCCGAAAGCTACATGCAGCTGTGCATGGCTTTGCAGCATCGCTCCCAGTGCGCCCCACAATGTTGAACGCGCAGACATTGCCTTTCCTCGTGAAGGTGGAGAGGGAACTGGTATGTACTGGTCTCTGTCTAGTCTTTTGCAGCCTCGCTCCCAGCTCGCGCGGCAATGACCCTCAGATCCGTTTCGGATGCACGTTGAACCACATTTAAACCGACGATCATCTCCAGAGACACAAGCGACTTTTCTAAGACCGTGGAACAGGGGGATATCAACAGGAGGTCGGACCTGATAATAGTCAGGATTTCCGATAGGCAAATCACTGGGGTTGACCACTCGACTCGCCATCCACTAAGTTAATCACAGGTACACAAACCCACGCCAATGCAACCTTTCATCGCGAATACTAGACTCCTCGGCTGGGACAAAATTCTTGAAGTCATCACCAACGGCAACCTTAAACAGAAATGCAAGCACAATAGGCAAAAAGTAGCTTGATAAATCAACATTGAGTCGTAAACACCAGGGTCAAAGACATACAGCAGGGTTCAATACGAGAAATCTCGTCACCTACTTGAGGGGACATTGCCATAGACCGCAGAGTACCTCAAATCCCCGTCCCGAATCACGCGCCGTACATCGTCACTCGATTCCAAGGGATCACCACTGAAACAGAGTCTGCCGCAACACTGGGCTTCCGAACCTTGTCACAACGCCATACTATCTTGCAGAGGACGTATTTGCAGAGCAAGATTATGCATGGCATAATTCGTGTGGTGAATCGCGGCTCCGCCGCCGCTCCCGCTGCCACCACTGCGCCCGCCGCCGCCGCCGCGAATCCCGCCGCTGCCGCGCCCCTCTCCCCGCGTACGGCCACATACGCGCGGGGGAACCGGGTGCTTCAATTAACAATGACAAACATCGTAGCGGCTGGACAGCTCATCCTGTGAATGCGTACTTGTACGATATCACGGGGGTCACGTGACCTCGGACCTCTCAACACCTCTCAGTCATCCGAGCGTCTCACCAATAACCACACCTTAATAGTAACATATCTGTTACAGTACTAAGAAGGTGGTCCACTTCGACTAACTGCCTTCGACCAATTGTCTCAATATTATCCTACAGCCAGATAACTTCTCCGCGGCTCCGCCATCGGCCAACCTGTGTACAGCAAGTGGCCGGCTTAGGCTATACTTCGGGATATTGAGGTTTTCTCCGACAGCCTTCTCAAATGATTCTTTTTCAACTGAATTGAGGCTTGGGAAGACGTCGAGGCTCGATCAACAAAGCAGTCTCAAGACAGCCCCAGACATCCAAATGCCGCAACCATGACCCTTACTGACGAACAACTGGCGGCCCTACTTTAGCAACCACCGAGAGTCCGATGCGATTATGCACAGTTTTCTACAGCTCAAGGGCATGCAAAGAAGATTAGGTGCCCATCCTATCATATTTCGAAAATGAAATCAAGGTAGCGCGGCCGGGTGAATGTTTGGGCAAGCCCCGCAAAACTCATGGGCCCTTCATGTTTGAACCTCTTCCGCCTCCCGCGGGCACATCCAGGGCTGTCTGGGATCAGCCGGCGCCCAATTGTCGGGCAAGCGATGACGAGCAAGGTGCCTCCCTCCTCGTCGCACTGCCTCCTGCGAATTTCTTCGCGAAAAAAAAAAAAGCCTATAGAGGCTCGAGAGACTGCATAGACGGCATGACACGGCTCAGAAAGCGGAGATCAAGGGGAAAAAAGGGTGAAACCATAATAGTAAGAAGGTCTCGGGCGAGGCGAACTACGCTCTGGTGTATCGGAGCCAGAACATTCAACGTATCTACTTCGTGGTAGTCGAGGTCGAATCTTCGAAAGTTTCGATGGCCGAAGCGAAAATCCTGGTTTGCATGTGTACGTCATCTCTCTCCAGCTGAGCTTTGCGCCTTGGAAATAGATATTTGCTCTACTGCGTCGAGCACAGCATCCTTTCTGCTTCGAAAGCAACGTTCGTGCCTCATTGGACATCGAAATGCCAGGTCTACTTTCTCGCGGCTTCGATCCGGAACTTAGTATGTCTGGACCACGTATCTTTTCAGAGCACAGTTGATTGACTTTGCAAACGTGTTCGACTGACAAACGGATCATTCGGACGGACATCTCTCGCGGACCGCAAACTAGTTCGCAGTTGGCTACTATACGGCAAGTCATAGCACAATGACTGAGGCAGTAGGTTCCCAGAGTTTCCTCAACTACAAAGTCCAGTGAAAATGAGCCAAGTCTTGTAAGCTAATACTATTTTTTTTTTTTACAACCCAAAGCAGAAACTCAAGCAATCTTCGTCGTGTCCGGCCCCCCAGGGCCGACACTCACGCACAAAGGAGTTCTTCGATGTTTCAAAATGCTTTTTCACATATTGATGCAGTTTGAACTTCAGCCTGCCAGAGACGGACTAAATGCATACCCGAGTCGGGATATTCTAACAGTTTGCATGAAAAAATGATCCGTATGCTCAAAAAAATACTCAATGAGGTCGTGGCTCAAACAATATGAGCTTGACAGACCAACACGTCTGACGAGGAATACATCCACGATCAGCAATGGGATGGCATTTCTCGAAACCTTCACAGTACCTGCCTGCTGTTTTTTCACACCCTTTCCTCTGGAAATTCTAATACCATGAGCGGAACAGCCTCCGAGCCCGCCGGATTCTGACTAAAGGCGGAAGAGACCCTGCGTCACCTGAAAGGGAAACCTTAGGTGATAATGAACTTGAGCCCTCCCAGCGGTCATCCTGCTTAGCAGACTCGCAATCCCGGACAAGCATTTATTGGGTCCTATCAGCACTGTGAGTAAGGAGCAGAGGCTCAGACCATCTTGAAGATCTGATGTCTATGATCAACAGTCTCGCAGATAAGCATGTCTTTATGCAGTCTCTTCATCGATGATCGATGCATGTACTTGAGGTTTTCGTGACGAACGATCCAGAGGTTTTCCCTCCCTGATGGTGCAGTGAGCCAGCTCCATGAGCCGATCAGTGTGCTGATTTTCCACAGAAAGAGATCTAGAAGAGTGCTAATCAGACTACACTGTGGTATAACATCCCCACTGCGTCAGATAAGGTTAGCGGAGCTATCTTCGCCGGGTGAGGGCTCTCTGCTATATAAGAAGGCTCTCCCCCCTCTGGCCAATGGCTTTTTCTTCCTCAAATCTCTCTCTCTCTCTTTCTGTGAGTTTGCTCGCGTGTTCTTCTCTCCTTTGGCCCCGCGTACCGCTGTCAGGGCGCCCCTGCGAGCTTTGGTGTTTGACTGACTTGACTTTCTTTGTTTGTAGCCATCGCGAACGCCAATTTTTCTCTGCAATTGCTTTTACCGCCCTTATAGGATTCCAGCCACTCTGGATCCTTCGCGGTACCTTTTACTAGCAGTACTCTGGCCCTTGCGCGGGTAACTGCTTCTTTCTCCAGTCCTAGGAGATTGTTTCAACTGCCGCGGGACTACTTTCCCGAGTTCCTCGCGGTTTTCCTCTGTGGCCTGTCTATCACAATCAGGTCTTCGAGATGGTGCGTCTGCGGGGACATGTTTTATCACAACCAAGCCATTCCAGGCCCGCCGCCGACGCAGTTTGCAAAGGCTTCCGCACGGGCTTAGGCACAATGATGTCTGTTGAGTCCCGGTTGGAAGGAAGCTCACAACGAATGGGAGGAGAGAACAATATCGCGCCAACTATTGAACTGGATTACTGCGGAGAAATCAAGCAACTTTCTCTTTCCACTTTTGGTCTAACTTAGCGCTACTTTTTACTTATTAAGTAGTCTAGTCGATAAATCGCGGGCTTTTGTTCCTAGGAATATAAGCCTTGCGAGTACCTGGACAATAGCCGTGTCAGGCTAACTCTCGGTGCGCCCGCAATTGTCAAGTCGTGGTGAGCACTGCATCTTATGATGGACGTATATCATCAGAGCAGCCCCCCCGCCCCCCCACGAACATGCAACAATCATGCAATACCTGGCTCTTCCAGACGATCCCCGTCTCAGTGTCACCCAGGGCAGATGTAGTAGGAAAGACAACTAAAGTCCCCAAAGCGGCAGCAGCTGATGATATACCAATTCTTGTACCCACAAGATCTTTGTTAGGCGAAAGGGTTGGCACAATAATCGCATATAGTACTGCTAGTAGCGATCCCATGAACACAGGAAGGAGTACTGCCCAGACGATACTCGAAGCAATCAGTTGAACGCCAATCCAGCCGAAGAGAAGGACACTGGGTGCGAGGGCGAATTCAAGACTCCGCAAGTGGTACCTCTACGCAAGATACTATATATGACACTCTCTTATAGGTGATGAATTCCGACGTCGTCATACATTAATGTATGAGAGAGAGGCATCTTGTATAGAGAAATAAGCTAACTTGTAGCTGGAACTTGGAATGCTTATTTCAACCACGAAAGACTCTGTAACTTAACTACGATGGTGACGATATTTCCAGAGGGAGTAAAAGACCTTTATCCACCTCCAGCAGCCTTATGCCAGCTTGTCTTCCGCCATATCTTCCACCCCGCAACCATCTCCCTCTCCAACCCGAAATACGCCGTCACGAACCCCTGCACACTACAAAGGGCCTGAAGACCGTAAACCCATTGCCCAGCATCACCACATCTCAATAATCGTCGCAAGAATCGCAGCATAAGGCCACGGCCATGGATGTATACGTCAGCACAAAGGCGTAGATCACTAGAAGAAGATAACTAGTTTCTTCATGGTAGATCGTGTGGCTATTATCTTATTAGACGTTGCTAGAGGAAAGCATTAGATGGGAGTCCAGACGGATGCCCTAAACAAAAACAACCTACCTTGGCGCCAATCGCTGCAACCAGGCTCAGTTTATTCAACCAGGCTTAGGCTGTAAGCATGATTCAGCTGATTGATTGCTTCAGCTTCACGCTGCATCTCCTCCAGCCCAGCCCCTCTATTCCTGCTCACCCCTCCGCTCGACCGGCAGCTGCGGGTGAAGCCCACATCCCCGCACCGCAATCTAATATCGGGCGATGTCTGGCCGAGAGGCACTGACACAAGCTCAACACTGCAAGCAAGGGGTGTGCAGCTCGCTTCGGAGACGATATATTCGCCCAAGGGCTTCGGACATTAGCCGCGGAGCCAACATGGCATTTTCAGGGATTGCCCCACGCGGGGTAATGACGATTGAATGTGGCATCAATTGCTTCTCTGCATCCCGGAAGTACCACAGACAGCCCCCTTGGCAGAGGCAAGGGACATGCAGAGACAGACACTCACCACCCGGGAAGAACCCTCTCTTCCAGGGTAATGATTGCTGGAATTGACCTTCCCATTATCCTGTTGGCGGGGACAGACAGACACGAGCGGTCATAAAAACCTTCGCTGGTGAGCCCGATTCAATTTCAATTCAATTCAGTTCAAGATTTCTTATCATCCATCCATCCACTCTCTATTCCAGCCCCCATTATTCGGTCCCCCAAACTCAACACCATGAAACCCACCACCGTCTGCAGCTTCCTCCTAGCCCTAGTCCTCGCCACGACAAGCACTATAGCCCAGCCCACCAAATCCACCGGCTCCAACCCCCCACTCTTCCTCCTCGCCGGCGACAGCACGACCGCCACGCAATCCAGCAACGGCGGCGGCTGGGGCGACGGCTTCCTCAACACCACGCTGCACCACGGCGCATCCGGCATAAACTACGGGGTCAATGGCCGCACTACCGTCTCCTACCGGGCAGGCGGGTACTGGGCGACCGTGCTCGCCAGCGTCGCCGCCAGCCTGGAGACGTCCACGACCCCCTACGTGACCATCCAATTCGGGCACAACGACCAAAAGGCCTCCGCCAACATCTCCATCGTCGAGTACACGACCAATCTGGAGCAGTTCGTGGCGGACGTGCGGACCGCAGGCGGCACGCCGATCCTCGTCACGCCTCTGTCGCGGCGGGGGTACGAGAACTCGACCGGCACGCCCAAGGTCGTGGAGGATTTGGCAGACCAACGGGCTGCGACGATCGCGGCGGCGGAGGCGACGGGGTCCACTTGGATTGATTTGAATGAGGCGAGTACGCAGTACCTGAATGCGATTGGGGAGGCGGATGCGTGGACGTACAACCTCAATCCAACGGATGAGACGCATTTGAATGTGGAGGGGAGCGTGGTGTTTGGGGGGCTGGTGGCACTGTTGATTGAAGGGGCTTTGTCGGAGCTGAAGGCAGAGGGGTACGTGCGGGTGAAGAAGGAGTTGGAGAAGGCCTTGGAGGAGGGGAAGTATTATTGGCCTTGACAATGTACCGTGGAAGCTTACTGCTTGCGGGATGAGGTGTTCAGGAGATCGAATCACGCGAAAAACTTTGTCCATGACATGGGAACCGCGCTACACAAAGTACCTGTAGTTGTCTAACCGGTGGGTTACTCTCTCCATGTAACCTGATATACACTGTTTGAGGCCTACTTGCTTCTCAAGTCATGTAAGAATCTGGTCTGATAGAGGTCTACCTTCGGATCCTTGATACCTCCGAGTAAAGCAGAGGGCGAGCATCTAGATTTGCTACCTACCTGTAGTGGTTCAGAACGGGGTCAGGCTCCAGTTTTGATATTCCCAGGCTCTGGCACCGGCTGCCTTGAAACAGTGTAGATCTGAAATTAGACGTATACACAGTATCAGTGGTTAGAAACTCGCAAGACATCTGAAAACCTGCACAGATTGTTACCCCGGGTCTATCGATCTCTCAATTAGATGAAAGTACGGCATTGTCGATGCTGGTTTGGGGGTGCAGTGGTGCTAATGATATACATTCCTCTATACACGGTGTCCGCCTGGGCTACGATTTTCCTCTCGCGCTTGCGCTTATTCGCCTTGGCCTTGTCACTTCTGTTCGGCCGTTCTTCGGTTTCATGATCCTCCCAGCGAGAGGGGGCGTATCCAGGGGCAGAGCGTTCTGGATTTCTTACTCGTCTGGGGAATGTCCTAGGAAATATGTCCCAGTGCGAGTCAAAGTCATCCGAGAAGGCAAGATAGGCACGGCTCCGCTCCTTCCAGTTTCACATCATTTAATGAAAGCCGGAGGTAGATGCTCCTAGTTGTCATCGCTGAGAAGGCCCATCTTGGAAGAGTGAGATTCAAGCTATGGAGAGCTTCGTGCTGCTTGCAGGGCAAAGATCCTATACGATATATACTTGGGCTAAAGTTGAGACTTGCACATATTTAGTACAACGAACAGGAGCTGAATAGCACGGCCTCGATGGCAAAACTGGGCTCTGGTGCCGGTTAGCCTATGGTGTCCATGACGGTGCAGGGGCATGGGACTAAAATTTATACAGTATACCATACCAACTGACTCAGTATGATGAAAGTCTTGATGGTCGGAATGACCGGAGAATACTCCATGCGTCCAGACTGTACAAACATCGAACATTAGGAAGATGGTCGATCGATCAGAGTATGCTCCATGCGTCCGAACTGTACAAACCACCAAGAGTAGTCCAGACGCCTAAGCCTACTCGACGGCGAGAACAACAATGGCAAGCTCAAATCATCGTGCAGATCCGTAGGCCACTCAACCATATCTAAGTGGTGGCTAAGATGCCTCTACTCCGTACTCCGTATGAAGTACACAGGGCAGTGTGGCAACCAAGTCGGAGGCAAGTGCTTGGCGGCTACTATGTATAGCCACGCTCCGATGCTACCCTTGCCGTCACTGAGTCAAGTAGACTCAATGCGTGCAGTACAGCACCCTTGTATATGTCCGATAGCACCCGAACCAACCATCTGAGCTCGTGCTCCACGCATGCAGAACGTAGATTCCGCTTGCAAACACGTAGGTCGAGGATCGCATACATACTGCTTACCCGGCGTCAAGTCCACAAATCGACCCAGAGTGCCTGATGCACGGCACGGGCATCCGATGCAATAAGCGAGATAATGAAATGCGATGCTGATAAGATCAAATATTTGCAAGCCCAGGGTAGATACGAGATAGGGGCAAACAGGCTTGGCAGGTCCTGCCTCGACGCGTCGCAGATCGGCTTTACCTCGGAACGCTCGCGCGATTCTTCCCGTACGCAGACGCTGTAGTATTGTCTTGCAGTAGTGTCACTGTGCTCACCGGAAAGAAAAAAAACCCCTCAAGTGGCGCTTAGGCCTATTTTAAGATTGCCACCCTCTAGTTTCGAGTCTTTCGAGTCTTCAACTAGATGGAGCAATTGGTCCTCCTGGTGTCGAGGTTCAAGCTCCGACAGCCCACAAGCAAAGATTGTTGAGAAGACGGCTGCAGGGACCACCACCCGGCCTGTGCACCGGCCACCTCGCTGACAATTGACAAGTGATCGATGGGGCCAGCATGAAATTATCAACGCTTTCTGCACGGCGGGCCGTGGGACAGTCTGTGGGCAGGATAGCGTGCCTATCACTGGTAACTTAGCAGTTGTCGACCCTCGCGGTAGGGCAGGCGGGAATTACGGCTACCTATCAGCGGAAACCTGCCTCGATCGTCGTGATAACCCCAGCCACCATGCCACACTGTCATCCAAGCCATTGATCGGCGACAGTCGGCGTACTAGGAAACATGTCAACAGTCTTGTTGCAGCTCCGGTATCATGCCCTTGCTCACAAATCATCCTCGCATTCGTCGTAGCATAAGCTAGGAGCACAGTCGCTATCTCGTGCCGGAGATACAGTCAGTCGTGTGCAGGATCGGCAAGGCTCAGCCGCAGCAGAGCTCCACATCACCTGCATTACCATGTTTGACAGAAAATCAAGAAAACCAAGACTGAGAGTGTCCATTACAGTGTCCATACTGTCAGCGTCAGTCAATCCAGCGCTAGGACTAGTGGAATGATTGTGCATGCACTTATGCACGACCTACCGGTCTAGCGTCTGCGGTAGCACCAGGAACGGTTTAGACACCCGTCTGGTCAAGGAGGATCCCTGCTAGGCTAGGACCCGGGGGCTGGGCAAACGACCATCCACATTGCTTTGCGCGGCCCGTCATTTGGCAGGATGAGTGCTCGTGTGAACTAGCTCGGTGCCACCTCTGCTGGTGATACGTATCATGCACCAGCTGGCGCACAGCGAATCTCCACAGACTCCAGCCCAGAGTCACTACTCCAATGGACTAGCCAAATTGGTGGATGGAGGACAAGGCTGTCTGGGAATGATTGCTAGGCTACCGTAGTCTAATACTCCGTACTCTGTAGAGGACGCGTGAATGCAAACATGGTCGGAAGATGGGTGAAAACATCCTCAGTTCGAACTGAAGCTCATGACCGTTATCGCTCCGAGCTCCACGGCATCGTTAGTGTGGATTAGCACGATCCCCAACATCTGCGGCAGTATCGACGGGACCAGAGGATGCACGAGGAAGCCGTCGTAACACCTTGAAAAGTAGTGACTGGTCAGAGCTCCAATGGTGGGTCGGTGGGATGTCCAGCAACGCCTTCCAGTGGCTCGCACTGAATCGGAGTGTTCGACCCTCAGAATAGCACCTATCACGACTCTAACTTCTTCTACTATCAAGCCAGTGATCCGAATCGCAGATTGCGTGCTGGACTGGGCGAGCACGATTCAAGCAGCACTGAGTTATATTTGACAATCAGGCAGCCCAATCACCGTCTTCCTGTGTGGTGGTACCCTGTCTGGTCTGGAATGGGACACTGACTCGTTAGCACAGTACTGCGTACTGCCAAATAGCAGGTACAAAACGTGTGGTAGCGAGACAACGCTTCGTCGAAGTTAGAGTGGCCCTGTAATTATCAGTTTGAGTTATTGTCTTTCTCTGGTAGATGCCACCTGTGATACGCCAACCGTTCAGCCTGTCCTTGTCTCGGGCAGTTTGATCGCTGGAAATTTGCACGGTGGTATTGGGAGTCTGCGCAGCAGAGAATAGAGACTCGGTGCATAGTCCAGGATCGCCATTTTCCATGATGCCATCCTGCATACGTTCCGTCCACGCACGAGCTCGGAGAATTTCTGCTCGTTACTCGCGTCAGGTAGGATCTACAAAGCGATTGTTCTGTGAATCTTCCTGGCCAGAATTGAGACTGGAATCTGACACACTGCATCATACTGTGTCGGATCATAGTGGTCCGTGGCACTCGCGGCTGTGGCCTTGCCTTAGTATTCTTGTAAAGCTATGATAGAGGCTGCATCAGTAGCTGCAAGCCCACGAAGAAGCTGCCGTCTTCATTTGATGAAAGGGGCCCTCGCCAGTGTTAGGACAGTGCACTATGCGATGGTGCTGCCAGGGGCGCTCTGGACCAACAATAGCATAGAATCTAGCATGTTCTGTGTAGTCAAAACAGCACATCTGATCATTCCCCTGTCGGGGTATTTGACGTGAGTTGTGGGTGGACGTTCTTAGATCTGTTGAACAGTGCTACGATCACCCGTTCTGGAAGCAATATAATGTCATTCGTCCGACTACCGGAAAGTCAAGTGGGTACCGTCAGGAGATTTTGTGCAGTGGCACAGCAACTTAAAGGTAGTCGAGAGGTTTCGCGTACCAGTTACCTACTGTGTAGGTGATGGATGGGGATCGAGCGAATCTAGCTTGCAAAGCAGCTCAATGGCTACTCCATAGTTAGCTCTTCAAGGCTGTGCTTTGAGTTCCAGAATCACCAGGACTTCCACAAGACACCCACAAACAGGATCTTGCTCCGATCACCCGAGGATGCAAGGGAACCTGGGGTTGAGCAAAAGAGCAAGAGGATCGAGGAGACAGAGAGAAGGAAAGATGGTGTGCAGCAGCCGACTCGGCGCTAACATGGCCTAAGGTGTCGAGCCCTTCAGGGGGCCCGTGCCAGCAACAACAACTAGTCTCTTAGTCGTACATACCGCTAGTAAACTACAGTAAACTCCTTCCCAACACTCCCCACTCCCTCACTTTCTAACTTCTTTTGTGTTGTACCTTCCTGCCATCGACGTGGACAAGCACAGATGGCGTAAATCATCAATCTATCTCATTTCGTCTAACACCTGCTTGCCACTACTCGCAAGCAAAGTCATTCAGAGCCGGACTTCCCCTGGATGTCTGTCTAGACGATTATCCATCCATCCGCAATCACAGGCTTCCCTCAATCACAACGAGCAAGATTCTCGTGGGATGGTATCACTCATAGCGTCCCATATATAGCACGCATTAGGCTGGCACCCCGGATATTGGTTATAGTGGTAAGCATTTGCTGCCTCAGGACGTCAGTCTACGGGTTGGATAGCCAGTGACGGCGGCTAATCCTGGCTTGATCGCTGATTGCCTCATCCCAGTAGCTTACTCCGTACTAGATTGACTCGAGACGACTATACCTCCTTTGCACCGCTGCTAATTGCAGTTCCAGCCCCAGCCCGACGATTTTTGAGGAGCTTACAGCGGCAACTGATCCCAATAAACCCCCCACACTATCCGAGCATAGACCACCAGTGGATCCTCACCCGCCAGGGTCTATGCTCGTCTCCGTCCCGGCGTAGACGTTGCCGTTATTACCGTACTGCCTCTGGAGTGGTACCAAGTATGCAGTCGATGCATCTGGACAAACACGGCGCAAGGCAATCAACAAATCTGGGTTTTGAGATCCATGTTGTGTATCCAATGAATGCATAGCAGTACACAATTTGCACCCGCGCAAATTTGAACAAATATCCTCATTCAGTTTCTTTCAGCGGGAGATGGAACAGTAGCTTCGCTAACTGTCCCTACCACCAATAACTATGATGATGGTGGCTACTGACCAGGTACCCGTACGGCTCGCCACGGGCAATGTCCTAGCAGGACTAAGGAAACCTTCCACCACTACCTCTTGCTTAGTCTACGCTTTGCTCGGACTCTTTACCATCGAACTCAAATCAGGTGGGCCATTTTGAAACACCAATGGACGCTGGCGGAAGTCAAATGGGCCGATGCAACGTGGACGCGGCGGTTGACCGATCGCCCGTGTTGGCTGGCCATCGTTTCCAGAAACTTGAGCCACGACAAGTTGCTCCTAGGCAGGTACACAATGACACATTCATCGTTTCTAGGCAGTCTCTGGGGATGGATGGACAAGCCACCAAATCAGCCCGTCTGCGGATTAACTTACCAGCCCTGGCGCCACAGCCCAATCAGGAACTGTTTTGCAATACCTCTAGCCAGTGCCACTGGTGGCTCCGGGGTATTTTCATCATTTTCTCCTACGCCGTGCCAAATGCCAAGTCTTTAGCCACTCTGATAGGGAGGTAGGAAGCAAGAAGACTTGCACAGGGAGTAACAATCACCTGTCAATGGATAGACTGTAATGCGAAACACCGATAACATATTGTGAGGAATGCTGCTCCCGCACCCCAAAATTGAGGCGAACGATTTGGCGGGATCAACCGATGCTAAGAAGGAGGCAGCTGCGGGCTGGCCGGACCCGGGCAAAGATTCGACCCCAGCTCTTTGTACGGAAGAGGGAGCATGTACCGTGGACTATACCTCAGGAGTAAATTGAGGTAAGTCCTACTCATTATTCCAGCCTCGAGGACTTGAGTGATGACCGAATGGATCCACCCGCCAGGACGGATTGAACGGAGACGATTGGGACAATTACCCGCCGGATCCAGGGAAATCCCCCACAAAACCGCAAAAGTCGCTTTTCATTCCCATGCCATTCCTTCCTCACCCCACAAAATGGCGCACGCTTGCTTGCCCACTGCGGTCCGGCCGGCCTTAGGGTCGTGGGAATGTCCACTCTTGATTTCCTGGTCGCGACGGTTGCAATTGACGGAATTGGGGGGATTTAGCGGGCGGCGCCAACCGCCACGACCTTTTTACGAAAAGAGCCAGCAGTAACCTCGGCTCAAGGGTTTCCCGAGATTCCCAAACATTTCTAGCTTTCTATCCCCATGGTGTCAACCTTCACTCACCGACGGGAAACTCGCGGTGAGTTCTTTGTGCTGGCAGGGGCAATGCGAAAGTGAAATTTCCCCCCCGTGCCTACTACTGCCGATCCAGCCGAGGTCACGAGGTGCGGGTTTGGATATCATTTCGTATTAAACTTAGTTCTTCTTCCCGGCGTCGATGAGACAGAGAGAGAGAGAGATACACACATACACATACACACACATCAACGGCCCGTGACCGGGGGTGGATCCAACCCCGGCCAAGACAGTAATCTTACTGTGAGTGATGGCGTACAGCACGTCTTACAGGCGAAGAGGGTTCGCAATCGGCCGTCTTACCGTACTGTACCGGTTAGTCGTTTCGTTTGTAGCGTTTGAAGATGGATACAGACGTGTCTCTTTTTCTTCAGCGCAAGGCAGGTCGTGAAACTGCCTGAATGGGTTAGTGGTTTTCCTGATGGCTGCTGCTCTAGTTCCGGTCCGCCTCCAGCGACTCACCGGTAATTTCACATACCATACAACTGCCGACGAGAAGCTAGCAGCAGGCAGGCAAGAGAGTCAGCTAACTTACGAAGAGCAATTGTTTGTCATCACTGTTCACTGACTGACCACGGTCAGGATGCTCACTCTTGGGAAGACGAGAGCTCGGGTTGTTCTCCCGCGACAAGCAGGCAGCAGCGCAAGAGCTCCCACAGTGTTAAAACACATGTCGGTTCCAGGCAGGGGGGCTCATTCATCGCATTCATTGTCTCGCCTTCAACCGGCTCCTACGTTGAGCACACGGTAGGGATGTGCACTCGACGGGCCACTGTTCCGCGTGGTCTACCTTTAAGAGTCCCTTAGAGTCGTAGCCGGGCTCCGATGGCGATTTGGCCTGTCAAGCGAAACCTTCCGGTCAACCTCGGGGTGCATCCGAGCTTACACTGCAGGCGATGACCAGGATCGCCAGAGGCAAAGAATTGGTTGCGTTTGAACTGCTCGCTGCAGGGAGCCCGGATCCTACTGAGATGGAATGAGTAATGTTGGAACAGACCAAAGTCGACTCCAGGAAAGATAGTAAGTAGTGACCGATGGCGTACAATGTCCGAGCTTCGGGTGAGACGGTATCGGCGTCACAAAACAGTACCAATGATTGAGTGGAAGTACTACGGGAGACACGACACAGTGGGTCTGTTTCCTGTCATGGTCCATGCTTTCCATCATGAGTGTCCGTTTTCTTACGCCAAAACCCGCCCCTGCTCCACTTCATTGGGGGGAAGTTGGATCCTGTCGGTATCATCCATGATTACCCTTCATCGATGCTTACTGAGATAAACGAGCGATCGCAATTAAATAGAATTAAAATTGCAGGTGTTATTAATAATCCCTCACCCGGATTAACTAAGTCTGGCTGGAGCACGGCTTGCTGACGACGTGTAGAACAGAGTACTTAGTTACTACTCCGTAGCTAGCTAGATATTATTATTTGTCTGGGATCCCCGTGCAACAATTTACGATTAATTTTCCTGGCTGCAAGCAAGACAAGTGACTGCAGAAACCAGTGTAGTAAAAATTGTCACTGACTGAGGGTCTTGTACTGTTTAGTACCTAACTTACAGCCTTTGCTCAGACGCTTCTTACTTCCTCCCTTCCTCTCTCCCCTTCTGTCTCGATCATTCACTCTCCTCTCTCTCTCTCTCTCTCTGTGTGTGTGTGTGTGTGCGTGTGCGTGTGTGCATCAACCGGAGTCGCTTTCTAAAATTCTAGGTCGGAGGGATATTTTCCTTTAATCATTCGGATCTAGACTTGGGGGAGGTAGCTGTTTGCAGTCATTCACGGAATCCCCCAGCTTATCGAGAACCAGACAGGCCCATTCCCCATTCGGTTATCTCCGGGGCTGATCCACTTTCCTCTTTCTGTCTGCCTCACTGTTCCTCCCTCTCAACTTGTCTCTCTCCATTTACTCTTCTTGTCTCTCTCACTCTCATTCTCACTCAACTCTCTCACACACACACACACACACACTCTCTCTCTCTCTTATTCCCTCACACCACCATCATCTCCACCTCTTCATCATTGCTATCATCTCATTCAGTCCCTTCTGTCTACTGATCATTGGTAATCCGCTTTATCTTCACTTCCTCATTTCCCTGGAGATGCAAGTGAATTAGCACAGAACATAGAAGAGGTGTGGATGCTTACCCACCCCCTGCTGATTAAAGTTGCGCTGACCCCCCCAGGCACCGAACCACCACCTCCGTTGCCACCTCGACCCTACCCACCTTCCTACCTCGTTCACTGCAATTCTTTGTAGTATTTCACCCATTTCACCCTCTCAACCATCCCTCCTCTCCATATCATTTGGTCTCTTTTCTTATATTGTTCGTTTCCTTGTCTGTCATTTTGACATCCTTCCTTCCCTAATTGTGAACTTGTCCTTCGTCTTAAGGTTAACCGGGTTCCTCTTCTGTCGGTGAGTTCCGTTGGTTGCTTGCACCTTAATTGCTGTCTCCTCAGTTCCGAGCAAATAATCGCGGAGAATATGCTAACCTCAATTCCCGTTGAATCAGTATGCGGTCAATGTCGGGCTTTGCTCATTCCCGTGCTCAGTGATCCTATACATCTATCGCCGCTACCCCTCCTGCCCGGAATCCCTTCCTCCATATCAAGGGGACCTGCTCGACCATCATAGCCTCTCTCCGAAGCCGGTGACTGCACTGGTACACCACATAGGTCTTAGGTGATAGAATGCTACTTGACTCAATGGTGGCCCAAGATCCGGCCACGAGCCCCAAGATGGACAGCATCAGCGAGATCCCTGGTGACGTGACGGGTGAGTGACTACAGTAACAGGTCTTGCTCATGGCTCTTTGGATCCCTAACAAGTTCAGCGGCCTCCAAAGCCAACACAAAGAAGGATACCAATGGTGCGAACACCGGTGTCGGGTCTGTCCCTCCGCCGAAAACGGACAAGCCACGTCCACACGGTTGTACCACTTGCGGTCGCTCTTTCGCGCGATTGGAGCACCTTAAGCGCCATGAGCGGTCGCACACCAAAGAAAAGCCCTTTGAGTGCCCGGAATGCGCACGTTGCTTCGCTCGACGGGACTTGCTTTTGAGACATCAGCAGAAGTTGCATATGACAACCACACCATCGTCCCGCCCGAGAAATGCGCGCAGGGAGAGTACAGGCACAGCGGGCACGGGCACAACCAACAGAGTACGGAAAAATTCAATCGTGAGTAATCCTAGCACGATGCGGCCTCGTGCCAATACCATTAGTCATATCGACGGAGCCTCGTTGAATTTGGTCGGTCCTACCAACCCTCCGACCGCTGCTCCCGGTCACCCGGCCCATGCTTATCACCCGAGCATTGGTTCTGCATCAATGGGCTCAAACATGGATTTCCGTGGGTTCTCGGCAGGGCACCATGCTCCGGTGAATGGCCTCACCAAGCTGGACACGTCGGGCTTACCAATCGACCTGTCCGGTGGCCTGCGGACGGCTCCTGTTTACGGAACCTTCGACCTGAGTGTCCCAGATTTAACCATGGGCTATAATACCACGATCAACCCCGCCCAGCTGCATCAAGCATACGGGAACGACTCTCCCTCATCACCATACACTCATGCGGTTCATCACATGCCTCCCACCGACCCCATGATGGAGGATGATTACCACCCTTTCGAGTGGATGAATGGCTATGACCCATCGTTGCAGATGCGAAAGAGCAATGATTCCGCCATGGACGAGTCATCTCCGTCAGCCATGAGTACTGGGAGTCAGAGTGGTATCAGCGAAGCCATGCTGGATGGTTCGAACCGGTACTCTATCTCGTCTGCGAGCTGGCACAATCCCTTCCCGCCGCACACCGGCGCAACTTCCGCGAACCAATACCCCCTTGAATTCTCTGCTAGCTTTAACGATATAGGAATCCAACCAGAGACTGTCTCCCCCAAGTCGTTGCTGGCGCAGAACCCGTTTGCAGAGACGTATGCCACCCCTCCGTCCATGACTTCAGTGGGCCAACCCCTCATGGGAGGACACTCGCAGAGTATGTTCCCATCCTCTATGGCAACCAACGGAGAAACTCCTAATCCTCTCAACTTGCCTTTCGCGAATAGTGCCCTACGAACTCACCATGCCGCAACCTCGGATACCTTTACAGACTCCACCCGACAGGCTTTATTAGCCAGCATGGCCCATCCAACCGGTCTGATTCATCGTAAATACTCTCAGCCTGCCAGCAGCATGGTACCATACCGTGATCTCTTCTCTCGCCCTTCTAGCCTCAGCAGCTCCGGTCACCTTCCCAGCACTTTGGACATGCAACGATATATTTCCGCCTACATCACCTACTTCCATCCGCATATGCCCTTTCTTCACATTCCGACGCTTGATTTCCGGGCTCCTGAGTACACCAACAACCTTCGAACCCCCAGTGGCCATTTGAACCTATGCTCAACCGGGGTTGCTGGCGGGGGCGGCTCTCTGATTCTGTCCATGGCTGCTATCGGCGCATTGTACGAATTCGACACCGCCGCCTCCAAAGATCTCTTTGAGGCTGCCAAGAAGATGATTCAACTCTATCTTGAAGAACGTCGTAAGGTGGACATGTCGGCGGCATTCGGGCGGGCCAGCCACGCGCGGGACAGCTCTGTACAGAACACTCCGCTATGGTTGGTTCAAGCGATGTTGCTCAATGTCATCTATGGCCATATGTGCGGTGACAAGACGTCGGCCGATATTGCTAGCACGCACTGTGCCGCACTCGTCAGCCTTGCGCGAGCGGCTGAGCTTACCCACCATGTGGATGCTAAAAACCTTCCGCAAGACCATCAATTTTCAAATGTTGGCCAATCGCATAACGTTGGAGGAGCCGAAGCTCAAAATAAACCAGTTTCCGGCCAGCCAAACGAGAGAAAGGAGTGGTTAGACTGGAAAATTGTGGAAGAACGCAAGCGTACTCTGTATGCGATATTCTGCCTGTCCTGCTTCCTAGTGTCGGCGTATAACCACGCACCTGCTCTCACGAATTCTGAAATCCGTCTCGATCTTCCTTGCGAGGAGGATTTGTGGGCTGCAGAATCTCCTCGGGCGTGGAAGAAATTGGGCGGCTACTCGTCGAGTCGGAGCAGCAGTCCTTTCCCTACTGCATTGACAACTCTGCTGACCGCCAGCCAACGGGAGAGACAATCGACCCCATCCAATCAAGCACAATCACCCGACAAGGAGGTCACGTCGGATTCCGCCGTATCAACTTTGAGGCCTAGTACTTTTGGCTGCTTGATTCTCATCTACGCCCTTCACAGTTACATCTGGGAGACTCGCCAACGGCATCTTGGCCGACAATGGACGGCCGGCGAGACTGAGGCCATGCAGGCGCACATTGAGCCTGCCTTGCGTGCTTGGCAGACTGCTTGGGTCAGCAACCCTGTCCACAGCCTGGAACGTCCTAACCCGTTCGGTGCGGGGCCTCTGTCAGCTGACAGTATCCCGCTATTGGACCTTGCCTATGTAAGGCTGTTTGTCAACCTTGGTCGATGCAAGGAGGCATTTTGGCAACGCGACTGGAATGCTATGTCTGATGAGCTTGCGCGCGGGATCGAACTAGTCCATCCTTTGGACGATATCCCCTCAGAGGTGCTGGACCCTTCGATCACCGAGGCCTCGGCCCAAGTAGATTACCGTCGTGACTCAATCGCAGATTTGGGCGTCGCGGAGCTCGTCATTTCAGGCACCCCGACGCAGGAGCAGCCCTTGCCTTCCATGATGGGGGTGCATCGGCCAAGCCAGTCGAAACGCGAAAGACATTTGCGCAGAGCTGCGTTCTATGCGGCCGACTCAATCAGCATATCTGACCAACTAGGAAATACCTTTGCAGAGTTCACTTGTCGGGAATTGCCCATTCAATGTGCGATGTGCACTTTTGATTGCGCCCAGGTCATTGCGGAGTGGATCACGACTGTCCAAGAACGTGTTGGCCCGTACCTCGGCGTCCTTGGTCGCGACGAGATCGATCTGGCTCATGCCAGAAACGTTATGTTGTTGGAAGAGGAGGACTGCAAGCTCATTGGCAAAATCCAGGAGATACTGGACAACATCGAAAACAAGATGCAGACGGAGGTGGATAGCAGCGTCACCATGTCAGCTCTCAGCGTTCTGCAACGCCTTCCCAGTGTTGTAGAGGGTGGATACGGCTGCAAGATTCTGGTTGCCACAGCCAGCCTTCTGGACCGAGCTGCTGTTTGGCCAATGATCAAGATAATGGCTCGATCTCTCGAAGCACAAGCCCTGCGATTGAAGGAACGAGCAGACAACTCTACTCTTGGTGGTCACTAACTCTGTGGCGCCAGACCTCGGAACCATGCATGCGGTTTCGAGTTACATACTCATACCGTAGATGGACCATCTCCCATGAACCATAACACTATCCTACCGCTGTCACCTCGTCACTCGGGTCTCCTGTTGGACGGCTACTACCTTTTAACGGTTCTCGTACCCGGTTTTATCCTAAAGCCATTCAGGTTTTGTTTCAGAATCCCTGAGAAAAGTTACCCCGTGCCTTGGCTGGTGGGAACGCCGACAATGCTGCTGCCAGACCGGAGGGCTCTTTGCGCTACGCCACCGCCACTCACAATCACCCTAACGCTGTCACGCAAGTGCTCCACTGTGCTTTTATCTCTGATTATACTGTTCTGTGCGTTCTGTACTTGATATTGAGACCTGATTTATGTATTTGTGGACGAACGGTTTGATGTTTGATATTTCTGGGCGGGTAGGACATGGCGGGATGAGAGAAGTTGCGGACCTAACGACCGAAATGCTGGAATTGTCACGATACCCTGAATCAGCAGTGCGATGTTGAGACTAACATGATGGGTGGCCTATGCCGGACCCTATGATATCTATGTGCACATATACTTCAGATAAATCCTGTACATATGCGAATACAATGTGCGATGATCAGACTGAGCAGCGAGTTTTTCCAACCATGGCTTCAGGCAGAGAGAGACAGTAGATGGAAAGTAGCATGAACGATGGCAAGTTCGTTGTGCAACCCTTACCAACCGACCAGCTTTGCACTTCCACATACCTGAATACGCAGTAAGGCAATATCTACGTTCTACAGCTTGACAACCCCAATACGAGAGGAGAAAAAGAGACAAGAAAAACGATGAATAGCAACCAGAACATCACTTTTTAGATTTCAGTAAACAACCGTGTGGGGAATGCATTGGGATGCCTTGTTCTGTGTATATGTGTGATGATGATGATGTGTGTGTGTCTATACAAAAAGCCTCTCGAAAGAATACTTGCCCACCGCCTTACGGCGCAGATACCCGATCTCTCTACTGCTGCGATTCTTCACCTCTCCCGTCTCCTTCTTAACCTTGGTCTTGCTGACGTCCGTGACGGGGGCCTTGAGCGACAGAGGCAGCAGCTTGCCGCTCGCATCCGCGGTACCTTCCTCATCATCGACGGGGCCAAAGACGACCAGGTCGGCACCGTTGAGCTTCTCGTACCGGATGTTGGTGTTGCTGAGGGGTTGGTGCTCGTCGGCTGCTGTTGCTGTTGCTGCTGCTGCTGCTGCTGACGCAGGCAAGAGGGCGGAGGAGGAATCGGCAGTGGAGGCGGTGGCGGTGGCCTTAACGCTGTTGGTGTAGCGCAGGTATTCGCGCAGGATACCCGTGAGGTAGGTCGCCTCTTCGACGCCGGCGAGAGCCGCGGAGATCTCGGACTTGATGTCGGCGATGAGATCCTGGCTGCTGCTTTCGGGGCCTTCCGCTGCACCCGCACCCGCACCAGCGGCAATCCAGCCCGAGGGCCCGATGGCGTCGATGGCGGCGTTGAGGCAGGTGGTGATGGTGTCGAGGGAGAGCGGGGGGTTGGTCTGGTCGGCGGAGATCGGGGTGGGGGGGTTCTCGGTGAAGCGGGTGGTGTGGCCGCTGGTGGCGAGGCAGAGGCGGAGGTGGTGGATCATGGAGATCAGTTCGGTGCGGGTGAGGGCCGAGCGGAGGGAGGGGGTGAGGGTCGCGGCGGGATGGGTGTGGAGTTTGCGCAGGGTCATGTTGAGGCCCTTGTAGATGTTGTGGAGGGTGGCGGGCTCGGGCTCGTCAGTGGAGGGGATGTGCGCGATAGCTGAGGATGTGTTGGGGGTGTTGGTGGTGGTGGTGGTGGTGGAGTCGGACATTTCCTGGTCTTGGGAGAGGAGCTTGGCGCGTTCTTCTTCGAGAATGATGGCGCTGGAGCGTGCCTTGTCGAGGAAGAGGCGCAGCGCGTAGGTGAGTTCGTCCGTCGAGAGCAGCACGCGGCGCCCGCTCAACACGCTGTTCAGTCTTTGCAGGGTCGGTTCGGAGTCGGCCAGTCCCTGGACGAAGGAGCCGACGGGCAGTTGTTGCAAAATCCGTGGTTTGATGCTTCGTCGCAGGGCGACTTCGACGTTGGCTTGGGAGAGGTGGCCGATGTTGATGAGCCACTGGCACGTCTGTTCGGGCCAGATGGCGATGGACAGGCGGGACGAGCTGGGCGTAGAGAGCTTGTCGTTGCTGCTTTGTCCGTCCTCCGAAAGGGTGAAGATCAAGGTCAAAAGGAAGAGCGTCATTTCCGGGTTGACGAACTTCTCGGGTCCCGGGAGGGTCTTGGACTCCCCGACGCCGAAAAACCGCTGGACGGCGCTGTCGAAGTCGCTGGCATTGTTATTCTTGACACACTCGCGGAGATCGCTGGTCAGTTGCGTCCATTTCGCCGCCTTCTTGGCGCTCAGTCCAAGAACTGCCGGGTCTTCCGTTCGCTGCTTCTTCGAGCTGGAGTCCCACGAAGATCCGATACCGCGGCCGATGGCGTCAATCAACAGACCGTCTCTGGGGCGTTTGGCGGGTGCCGCGGCCGGATTGGATGAGCTGAGGTCGAATGCCAACAGGGTGCTGTTTTTTGTGGCGAGCGCGACCCCCAATCGGGCGAAATAGGTGACGAAAGTGGTGGGTGCCTGAGTACTGGAGGAGCCACTTGTTGGGACGTCGCTGACTGCGATGCTCCGCTGGATAGACTTGTATTGGGTATCATACACGGCAATCATCGAATGGCTTGCGCCGATCACGGATTGAGGGGAGATGCGCATGATGGATGAAAAGGTTTCTCCGAGAATGAATTTCGACGTCAGTGTAGGGGCGTACTGGGAGAGATCGAAGTTGATGTGTCCGTGGGGGAACGAAAGGCTCAGTCCAGCCGATCCTGAGTGGAAGGACCACTGTGAGCCATGACGGTCAACCGTCTCTTGTCCGCTGACCTCGGGGATGCTGATTGTGAGGAGGTGTCTCATCTTCTGGCTTTCATCAATACTACGCTCCACACTGGCGACAGTGGAGGGCACGGAGAACATTTGAACTTTGACGTCGCTGAGCTTGAGCGGGTCGGAACCATTGGGGTGCGAAACAACCAACAGAATTGAAGGTTCATCAACGCCAGAATCCGTGAGGCTGCCGAGCGCAAGAGCCGTCAGATCCTGCCGGCGCTTGAGCAGAGACTTCTTCGCATCCTCGAATTCTACCAGGAAGCATGCGTTGACGCTGTGTGTCGAGCTGATCTTAGTCACCTCGCTGTGTTTCAGACTCCACCGCTGGTTCTTGAGGTCGGGAGAAAGTCTTCGGATGCGACCATCTTGGTGAGCGGCGAGGATGTCGAACGAACTCTCCTGTTCCTCTTCGGTGGAAGGACCCGGAACAATCCCCACGAAGTTGACTGGGCTCTCTGAGTCGCTTATGGAGTAGGAGGACGAGGAGATAACGGGGGCACTTGATCCATTGCCACCACTTTCCTCTACGAAAGCCTTGATCTGCTGCTTCAAAGCAATGTATGTCTGTCTCCTGACCACAGCTTTGCTGGGAATCTTTCTGCGCACCGAGCAGGGCTGGCAGGTGAAGGACGATTGCGGCGGGACGGCATAGGAGGTCACCAGTTTAGGGGTTTGGATCTATTCAGAGCGCAGATTGTCAGCATGTAGTCTGCTATGCGATCTGCTGTAGCGGATACCCACGTTGTAGATATTCACGGCTTCTCCATCGGCGGCAACGACGACTTCGTGTCGCTTGCGCTTTTTCGACTCGGCCAGGCTGAAGACATCGCCAATGTGAGTTTTGCCAGTAGAGGCGTGCAATGGGCGAGGCAACTGAGCCAGCACGGATGGAGGTTGCAAGTCCATGATAGCGACACTTCGGAAGTGAGTATGCGACAGAAATGCGACCGGTGTCGCTGTGAAATTGCAGCGTCTGTCCTCTCGAAAAGAAAATGGATCTGTATGGCTTCCCGAAAAATTTCCGGGCGTAACGTTGCTCCGGGCTCCGGACCCATGATGCCCAAAGCGGACTAGTGCGGCATGATGTCCAGGCTCGCAGTGATCCGTAATTATCGTCCGGCGTCCTTAATGGAGGCGCGGGAAAACACGCGCAGCGCGTCTTCGAGGGCCCGCCGCATTCTCCTCCGGCTCATACACTTTGACTGCAACCAGACCCAGAACCACATCTTGCAGCACTCTTCCTTCACTTCAGTATGCTTCTTCACATCATGGTCTAGAGTGTCGGATACCCTCTCTGCACTTGTAATGTCCTTCCTTTACATGTTCTCTCCATCATCTCTCCTTCAATCCCTTTTCAGGTGATGAGCTTCTGCTCATCATCTGGAGACTCACAATCGATGGCTACCAAACAAGGCGAACAGAGGGTCATTCACCCTTTCTTTCGGAGAGGTCATTCTCCTGTTCTGATTTACAATTCCTACAGACGCTTACTGTGTGCAGATTTTGAAGTAACACCCGGCACCCCCAACCCACTTGTCCATGCTCCGGTCAATGATGCTATAGCCGAATCCAAGTCTCCTCACGGCGACCAGACCCAGAATACCTCAAATGCCAACTCTCTAGGTCCTGGCTCCGTTACTCCTTCTGAAACATCCGATTCACGTCATACTCATTCACTCGCCATGCTCGATCACGATCCTAATTCCGAACGGAGAAAACGGAGGAAGACCGACAACTACAACCCTGCAGAAGTAGTATCCGGCACAGTCAATACAATCCCAGACAAATCAGAGTCTCATGAGCCACAGCCTCAAACGCCCACCAGTTCCCCAGATGAAGTTCTGCCGCCGATCGAACCTCAATCTACAAACACTTCAGCGGGAAGAAAGTCGCCTAGACAGAAAACAATCAAGCTGAATGCCAATGGGAAGCTGCTGTCCTCGCCGGTGTCGGCGACAAACAAAGACAACTTCAAACAAGTGAGGAAGAACAAGCGCGGCAAAGCGGGTATACAAAAGCATCAGGTTGTTGGCAGTAAGATCGTGGTCATCAAGTACAACCTGGAGGCAAAGCCTGCGACCACAATTGGCCACCTCATAGACGACATCCTTAGTGGACGGAAGAAACACACCGCCGCCATGAACACCACCCTACGGATTCCGGCAGCTTCTACTACGCAAGATCAACCAGCAAAACCGACCCACCCGTTCTTTCTGAAGAAATCCACTCGAAAGGCGGATGATCCAAACGCCCAATCAGATACTCAGGACGGGACTCCCCCTAGCTCTCAGCAGAAAGATCTCAAACAGGTCTCAACGCCACGCTTCCCGCTCAAATCTGGCTCGAGCTGGTCCTCTACACCATCAACTACCTTTGTCAAGCGGCCCCGATACCCCGAACCTGCTCACCCTATCTGGCCGCCTCATGGCTTGACACACATTAGAGGCACAGAGGACGATCTCGGCCCCTACCGCCATGCCAATACTGGAATTTTGTATCTCGGCCAGAAGAAGTCCAAGACTGCTCCGGTCAATATCCCTGATACCGAGAATGTCCTTCTGCGTCGGCTACCAAGAGAGCGCTCCGCTGTGTCTGGAGTCATGCGTTTGCCTGGAAGACACGTTGCTAGTGGGAAGATTTTGCAGTGCGCCGTCACCAGACAACTTTCGGAACAAGCTTCTTCTGCACGAACGAAAAAGAGGAGCTTAAATAGCAACTGTCACGCTGCTCTCACTAAACTACATTCGTCGCTCACGAGCTCCATGTCTGCTTTTGACCTTGGTGTTTTTGATACATCGAGCTGGGCCCATAAATACGCTCCTCAATCCGCAGAGCAGGTTCTGCAGACCACGAAGGAAGTGCTTCTGCTTCGCGACTGGTTGAAGTATCTCAAGGTCACAGCTGTGGACACAGGCAAAACACAAAAGGACGACGAGGTGAAAAAGAAAATGGATGAGAGAAAGCGCAAGAGGCGTAAGAAGGACAAGCTAGACGGCTTCATCGTATCAAGTGAAGAGGAGGCCTCCGAAATGGATGAAATCTCCGGTTCAGATGACGAGTTGGCTGCGGTTATGACCACCAAGAAAACCGTCATCCGTTCTGGCGATATGGCTTTAAGTTCAAAGTCTGGATCCGAAAAAGTCCGCATGTCTAATGTCATCTTGATCAGTGGTCCGTCAGGGTGTGGGAAGACGGCGTCGATTCATGCCGTGGCCAAAGAGCTGGACTTTGAGGTGTTCGAAATCAACCCCGGGAATCGTCGCAGCGCCAAGGACATTCTGGACCGTGTAGGTGATATGACACGGAATCATCTAGTCCATCACCAACACAATGAGAACATTACCTCTGATGGCAGTAGTGCTGAGCTGGTGGACCCAAGACAGAACAAGTTGAAGGGATTCTTCCAGTCCACCTCGACTGTCAAAGCAGGGGCTAAGGCTCCTATCGAATCCAAATGTTCAGCGCCAGAGTCGGAGACGAAACGTTCTCGCAGTCAAAAACAATCGTTGATCCTTTTAGAAGAGGCAGATATCCTCTTTGAAGAGGACAAGGGATTTTGGTCAGGGGTGATGACCCTGATTAGTCAATCGAAACGGCCGATTATCATCACCTGTAATAATGAGCGACTTCTCCCACTTCAAGACATCTCTTTTCATGCCATACTACGCTACCGAACACCGCCAAAAGTTCTCGCTGCTGACTATCTCCTCTTGTTGGCTGCTAACGAGGGTCACATGCTCAAACGAGGAGCGGTCGAGAGCCTCTACGACTGTACAGGTCGTGATTTGCGGCGATCTATTATGGAGCTGGATTTCTGGTGCCAAATGGCGATCGGCAGCGAAAAGTCGGGGCTTGACTGGATCCTCGATCGCTGGCCGCGGGGTTTAGACCTGGATTCGCAGGGTGACCCCCTCCGGGTGCTGAGTCTTAATGCATATGAGCCGTTCATGGGCTGGTTCGGGCGCGACATACTGCAAAGTAACGAACCAGACAGTGAGATCGAGGCCCGATTAGAATCCCTCGGATGGTGGCGACTCAGCATGCAGGAAACACAGGATATGAAAGTCCCAAAGGAGCCTGATTCGCATCTTTCAGGCATGCAACAGGTAACCGCAGCGCCCAACCTTGAGCGTCTAGAAATGTTACGGCTAAAGTCCAAGTTCGCCGATGTACGGAGTGACCTCGACTTTCTTTGCTCCCGCTGCTCACTTGACATGAAGCTAGTGAGATACCCCCATTGAGTACCTTCAAGACTGGTATTGACTGTTGTAGGACACCATCGATGCCTCGATACCCCCTTTACCCGAAAAGCAGAGAACCAACTACACTGATGGTTATCAATTACTCTCCGCCGACATAAAGCCGGATTATACCGGAATGCCGGCTACCATAGGTTGCACCTTTGAGGCTTTGCTGGAGAAGGCTTTCCCGCATGAGTACCAAGGAGCCACGCGGTCTCCTGATATGAAACCTCTAGACGGAAAGCCTTCGGATCCTGAATCCGAGTATGGGGCGAAAATCCTAAAAGAAGCTAACAGACCCGCCAGTGCTGGCCCTGGGCGCGCTGAATTCAAGGCAGCTTTTGAACCTATGACAAGAGCGGATTACGTCTTTCCGATCCCCACTGGTCGTTTGGCGCCTTCGTTCGAAAATGGACTGCGTCCCATCGCCGAGGACCTAGGACCTTACATTCGAGGTATTATGGCGTATGATATTCGCTTAGCACAGCGTCGTCTGCAGCTGGGAGAAATACTCTCCACTGACGGAAAGGGAGCCAAACGCACACGACAGACTCGCGCCAGTCGAGCAGCGCTAGAAGGGGGTGATAAAGCATATACTCGCAAGGAGAGATGGTTTCCCTCGGATGTCAATCCGTCGCTGGTGTTCGCCACGGGCAAGCAGGAATGGCAGGAAATACTGGCGCGGAAGGGCTATTTCGTTGTAGCACCCCCCGGGGAACTTCCAGTGGACTGTAATGATGGATTGTCAGAGGGCTCGAGTGAGGGAGGCATCTAGAAGGGTATCTAGAAAAGAGATGGGCATCCAAGTATAGGAAGCGACTGCAGGGCAGAGCTAATCACGAGCATCATAAAATATAGTATTATATATAAGTTAGAGAGCAATGGCTCACCCAACCCATTTTTAGTTGCATTGTAAAAAATGCATGAGATTGCGGTGAAGATATTTTGACTCCATTTTCTACACTATACCGGGTTTTGTGTAGAGTAAGCGGGGAGGCGGTTTATCGCCCGCAGTGGATCGGGGCGAGGACGACATCATCCTCTGTTCTCTTTCTCTTTGCTTCTCCCCTTCGCAAACGCGTCTTCCTTATCAGCCTCTCCTCCCTCCACCTTTGCTCCCACCAGCAAGGACCACAACCACAACCACAACGACAACCACAACAACAACAACTGTCACTCTCCCACTGAGGAGGAAAAGCAGGTTCTTTTTCCTCTGCCATCAATGTCGGTGTGCACTTGTGTAATATATTAGCTTGTTTTGGTTGTCGTGTTGCTTTTCTGTTCTCTTATCAGCCTCTCCCTGCTCTCCCTCCCGCCTCCGACCGCACTCCGCTTCGTCATTGCCCTGGCCCCTGCGACATCAACAACAACTATCCTCCCCCGTGACCACCACTCAGCATTCGCCCCATCTTGACCTTCGATGTCGCTCTTCGGCACTTCTCCCGAGGACTCTACGCTGGGTAACTCCGCGCAGAGATCCAAGTCCTCCCTTTTCGCCGACGAGCCCTCCTTGGGGGGGAATCCAGGGAATGCGGGTGCCTCCTCCCTTTTCGCCGACGACGACGGCTTGAACTCCGGTTCGTTCTGGGGAAACAGCGTCAACAAACGGACGAAACAACAAATCGTGAAGACCCTTCTCCCGCAAGATGAAACTCCTGAAAGCTATATCGATGCGTATGACCTGGTGCTCAGTGTGGGCGATCGCGTGGGCAGCGGTGTTGGTCTGACCTCAGTCCGCGAAATCTTATCCAGCAGCGGACTCAGCGCGACCGATCAAGCCAAAATCTTGAATCTCGTGGTTTCGGGTGATATGGATAGCTCCACTGGCCTAGGACGTGGCGAGTTCAGCGTACTCTTGGCCCTCGTGGGTCTAGCGCAGGAAGGGGAGGACCTGACCTTTGATGCGGTCGACGATCGACGCAAGAGTGAGTTGTCGCTGACTGATCCCCCATGCCATCCCGCCAGGCCAGACTTGTGCAGCTAACAACGGTGCGCCTCTCTGAACAGAGCTCCCGCAGCCCAGATGTTCTTATCTCGACGCATTGCGCGCTAAACACGAAACTACGACATCCGGGCCGCCGTCGCAAGACCGTCCCACTACGCCTCCTGCTCCGGCCACCCCGCCGCCAGAGCCCAGCTCGACTCAATCACGACCGTCCGCCCGTGCGTCCATGGGCAGTTTTGAAGCCGACCCGTGGGGAAGCCCGCAGCTGCATCGAGGACATGCTCATGCCCAAACCGAATCCGAACATCCCGTCCTAAATGGGTATGGCAGTGTTCGGTCCGGAACCAATGCGTGGGCGAGTAGAGCCAGCGATACCAGCGGCCCACAAGATGCGACAGAGGTTACACATCCTAATGGAGGGACAAGCTTGGGTCCCTCCGCCAACCCCGGCTTCGGATGGGGGGAGAGTCTAAGAAATACGTCGGATGGACAGGGGCTGGGTGGGCCGGTCCGAGCTGGACTTGGAGGTTTTGGCCCCGGAGGAAGCGACCAAGGCGACCCCAATGCGCGTCGCCGGTCTCTAGGCATTGGCAGGGTTACGAATACTCGTATGGAGGAGGTTATCACGATCACCTTGCTCCCGGAAAAGGAAGGCATGTTCATGTTCCAGCATCGCAACTATGAAGTCAAGTCTGCCCGCCGCGGAAGCACCGTGGTTCGACGGTACAGTGACTTTGTCTGGCTCTTGGACTGTCTCCACAAACGCTACCCATTCCGTCAACTGCCACTGCTGCCCCCCAAGCGGATTGCAGGTACGTCCTAATTGAGGCTTGCTACAAGCTGTCCTCCAAGCTTACACACCTAATTCAAGTCAATGGCACTCACCTTTCAGCGGACTCCAATTCCTTTCTGGAAAAGCGTCGTAGGGGACTTGTACGATTTACGAATGCGCTTGTTCGGCATCCCATCCTGAGCCAGGAGCAGCTGGTGGTCATGTTCTTGACGGTTCCAACGGTAGGTTTTCCGAGTTCGCATGGCTGCAGCGGTGGATGATCTGACATTAAAGACAGGAACTCTCGGTGTGGCGGAAACAGGCAACCATCTCAGTGCAGGATGAATTCGCGGGCCGGGCCCTACCCCCCGACCTGGAGGACTCGCTTCCCTCCAATTTGACCGATCTATTCGAGACCGTGCGCAGTGGGGTCAAACGGTCGGCGGAGGTATACATCAATTTGTGCACGCTGTTGGAGCGGTTAGCCAAGCGCAACGAGGGGCTCGCTGCGGATCATCTGCGATTTTCCCTGGCGCTGCAGTCGCTGACTGAGGTGACACGCGACACTTACGCGGTCGATACAAACGATGTGCCGTTGCTCAACGAAGGGATCAAGGCGACGGCGCGGCATTTGTCGGCCAGTCAAAGCCTGCTGGAGGATGAGGCTCGGGCTTGGGAGGATGGGATGCTGGAGGACCTGAAGCGGCAACGCGACTGCCTGGTCAGTGTGCGAGAGATGTTTGATCGGCGGGACCGATATGCCCGCAACAACATTCCCCAGCTGGAGCGTCGCATTGAGAACAATGAGCGCAAGCTGCAAGAGCTGCGGGCACGGCCGCAGGGCACGGTCAAACCTGGAGAGATTGAGAAGGTGGAGGAAGCAATCATCAAGGTATGTGGGATCCTTTTGACTTGGTCTGGACCCGCGTAGCATGGCTGACCCGGTTGCCTCGTTTGCGGGATTGCAGGACAAGGAGTCGATTGTGCAACAACACGCACGTGGGGTGTTTATCAAAGAGTGCATTCGGGACGAACTCGCGTTTTTCCAACAAAGTCAGTATCACATTAGCCGACTGCATCAGGACTGGAGTCAGGAGCGGGTCAAGTACTCGGAGCTGCAGGCGGACAACTGGCGGTCACTGAGCGACCAGGTGGAGGGAATGCCTCTCGGGGACTGATGCAGAAGTCGTGTCCTGGCCGTGGACGTTTGCCGTTTTTCCTTAGTTTGCGTTCTTGCACTCTCCCGCTGTTGTCTTTCTATCTACTATCTACTGTATTTTTCTTTACTCGCGCTATCCCCTGCCAAAGTGAATTCTGGTTGTGGTTCTCCTGCAGCGACTCTAGCCCTGTACACATCCTTGTTTGACACAGACGGATCTTGTAACCTACCGCCTACACAGAGTTATTTTAAGGTTTGTGCGTGTGGAAATGGAATGGTTGGCATTTTGGCGACAACGATTGATTTGAGGTTGTGGACACATGGTCGGGTTGCTTGCTTGGTTGTTGGGAGTGACCTGCAGGACATTGCATGCTGGACCGGCCAAATCAGGCGTCCTGCAGTGTGGTGTGAAATGGCTGCCAGATCTTTCTGGCTCGTGCCGGCCCTCGTTAAAAGCTGATGAGTCGAGTCGTGTTGCTTTGTCGGTATATGTCTTGATATATCTTCTTTGCAAGGGAATCGCTGGAAAGATACATCAGTGTGCAGCATGTGACTGGCAGTGTGGATTACAACCAACAGGAAACCTCAAGTTTCTGACGGTAGTACTATATGTTTGCCATCGGTCATGCTGCGCCGTCAAGCAAGCATGCAAAACCATCCGGAAAGCGTGAATCGTGACTGTACGTGAAGTACTTGCAGTCAGTCAGTGGTAGTAGATAGTAGTAACCAACTAACCAACTGGATTGCTGCGGAAATCGACCTGACTAGCGACTTTCTCTTTCCGTCTTAGGTGTGGTCACAGATCAGCCCCGCCAATAAATCACGTGAGGCAGCAGCGACCTTCTTACATAACACAGGTTGTTACTAAATTGATGCCTGGAGCTGAGCTCTATACCGGGGCCTTGGTCCCATAACAATAGGGCAAGTGGACGGGACTCATAGCAAAACATTCCAGTAAGTGAACTACTAGTAAGTACTGTCTAGGTACTGTACACACAAGTCAATGAGCAGTCACTGACATTGAGTGACTCGGCAAGTCGGGAGCAATGAATCACCGAGATGGGGCTAGTGGCAGTGGGGGGAGCCATTTGACTAGTGTCTCCGCTTTGTCCGCTGACCGTCAATGAAATAACCGGCAGTAAACAAGAGGGTTTTTAGTCCATTTTAGCCTTGCAGGGCTGGGCAAGTTGGAGGGCTGCAGCGGTTATAACTTCTTACTCTGTGTCGTCATGGCTATGATTGGCACCATGTGGTGCGACTGTGAGAGAATAATTGCCTGTGTGACTTTTGAGTCTCACCTGTCAACATCCTGCTGCATCCCACCTCTCACACGGGGGAAGCAGTGACTTTGCTGACTTTGTATGTACTTGTTGGCGGGACACGACCTGAAATGTGATCAGTAATCAAACAGGTGCCCTATTGGAGTGGAGGGGAAAGTACGTGTAGTTAACTTAGTAGTAGTTACCTAGTAGTTTTGCGGGTGGAATACCGGGTAAGTTACTAGAAATTCCTAACTACTTATTCATCAGTCCGCTGATTCCCCTTCCCTCTACCTGTCGAGTCCCGCCAGCTGCCAAGTCCCTCTTCCTTCGTTCCGCGATCCATTTCCTGCCTCGTCATCATCATCATCATCAATTTCCCGAGTCGAGTCTTGGAAGGGCAGCAAATCTCCGAATCATCTTCTCACGCCCAGCTTTGCCCAGAACTTGGCTTGCCTTGAAGACCTTTCGCTGCCTTCTCTGTTCTCCAAGCCAAGTGAAACTTTCCTCCCTCTCTCTCTCCCTCCCACTCTCTTTCTCTCTCTCTGTGTCCCTGCTGTCTGTTTTTTTTTTTTTTTTTTTTTTTTTTTTTTTTTTCTTTCTTTCCTCTTCCTTCTCTCTCTTCTATCCTCCTCTCCTCCTTGAATTCTATCTCATCTTGGGATTCCGATCTCCCCATTATCTGTTCCACAACCGGTAAGTTATCGAGACACCGATCCTTCCCCCAATTCGGCAGATCGTCCATTCCTCCATTCCTCGCCCTGCCCAGCTTCGACCCATTTTTGGCGCTTTGAAGAACACTCGGACCAATGCTTTGGCCCTCGTTGCCAATTTCTTGCTCTTTCCATTTATTTTCGCTTGTCTTCGGAAACTAATCTCACGTTCTCGTTCACACAGGCCTCCCTAATCTCTCCCTTCCTTCCCCCTCCCCCCCCCTCAACCTCATCGCCTGCCCCCTTGCAGACCACGACGCCCACGAGGCACTTGACCGAAAACTCCCTCCCGTCTTGGTCTTTTCTCCGCACGCGCCTGTCACTGTTTCGGGCCGCATATCATCCTGCTTTTCAAGGCATGCAGAAAACCGTTGTGCGTCCACCTTAAGCGGCGGGTTTCCCCTGGGTAGAGCGCATCCAGGTCCGATCGACGGAGCTCCTCCGAGATTCTTAATCACAACCTGGTTTCGCGGCGCATCGACTCACATGCGCCCGTGGAGGAGGAATTTCGGCTACATCAATCTAATTTCACTTCCTTGATCATCAACACCGCCACTGGTACAATTCGCGTGCGATTTCGTGTGCTTCCCGCCGTCGCAGTCATGGCGTGGGATCATTTGGATATCGATAAGCCTCATTTGGCCTACATGATTCTGGGTGGCTTTACCAGTCTGTTCATGTTATGTTCGCTCTTTGTCAAGGAGAAGCTGTACATCGGTGAAGCCACTGTTGCCACGCTGTGTGGTATTATCTTTGGGCCCCATGCGGCCGACCTGTTCAATCCATTGTCGTGGGGCAATGTCGACAAGATTACGCTGGAATGCTCGCGCATTGTCCTGGTCGTTCAGTGCTTCGCCGTCGGAGTCGAACTGCCCAAGGCCTACATGGAACGACATTGGAAGTCTGTGTTTTTGCTGCTGGTGCCCGTCATGACTTGGGGATGGCTGGTAACGAGTCTCTTTATCTGGTGGATGGTGCCACCCCTCTCGTGGCTCGAAAGTCTGATTTGCGCCTCGTGTGTCACCGCTACGGACCCCGTCCTCGCGTCCTCGGTCGTCGGTAAAGGCAAATTCGCCCGTCGAGTTCCCAAGCACCTGAGAGACTTGTTGTCCGCCGAGTCCGGCTGCAACGACGGCATGGCCTTCCCGTTCATCTACCTGGGTTACTACATCTGGCGCTACCGGCCCAATGCCGGAGAGGTGTCGCTCAACTGGTTCTGTATCACCATTCTCTACGAGTGTGTTTTCGGAGCAGTCTATGGGTTCATCATAGGGTATCTGGCCCGCCACGCGATCAAGCTCGCCGAACGGAAGGGGCTCATTGATCGCGAGAGTTTCCTCGTGTTTTACTTTGTGCTGGCTGTCTTCTGTGCCGGCTCGGGTAGTCTCCTGGGCATGGACGACCTCCTGATTGGCTTTTCTGCTGGTGTGGGCTTCAGTAACGACGGGTGGTTCACGGAGAAGACGGAGGAGTCTCATGTATCCAACGTCATTGATCTTCTGCTCAACTTGGCGTATTTTGTGTATTTCGGGTCGATCATTCCCTGGGAGGACTACAACAACCCTTCGATTGGTCTGGTGCCCTGGCGACTGGTCGTGATCGCGATATTGGTCATCTTTTTCCGTCGGATTCCCATTATGTTGATACTGAAACCAATCATCCCGGATGTGAAAACTTGGCGCGAAGCGTTGTTTGCGGGCCACTTTGGGCCGATTGGTGTCGGTGCGATTTTTGCGTCGATTCTCGCGCGCGCGGAATTGGAGGGCCAGGGCACCGACCCTTTGGGAGAATCAGAGCTTCCAAAGACGGGCTCTTCCAATTACTATATCGTTCAGCTCATCTGGCCGATCACCACGTTCATGGTCATTTCCTCGATTTTGGTTCATGGCTCCTCCATCGCCGTCTTCACACTCGGCAAGCGGATCAACACCCTCACCATTACCCTGTCGTACACCACCGCCAACGAGGAAGGTCCCTCCTGGATGAATCGTCTGCCGCGGGTGCAGTCTCTGGCCAAGGGTTCCATGTCGTTCCGCAAACCGGATGAGGGCGACGAGTCCTCCAACGAACCGGAGTATCCTCCGGGTACTTTGCCTCCGATCGGAGTCCCAGGCAACTTCTTGCGTCGCCAGAAGGATGACGAGACTGAATCAACACGTGTCCGGTCGACTAGTAGGACTCGCAGAAGACGCCGTAGACGCAACGATGGAGCCGGCGGCCCGATCAGTCAGTCGGCGATCGCGCCCCAGCGGACCGCAGATACTGAAGAATCCGAAAAGCAAGAAGAACGCGAGGAGGAGGAAGAACGCGACAGGATTGAACGGGAAGCCTCTCCTCCCACCCGGGAACGGGATCGATTCGGACGGGAGCCAATCATGGAAGTGTATCTGGAGGGCCATAATATGATCATGGAGGATGAGGAGGGCAATGTCCTCAAGGTCGAGGACATCAGTCATCTTTCCGCAGAAGAGCAGAAGCAACATATCGAAGAACAGCGCCAAAGGCTGCAGCACCACAACAACGGTGAATTCGCCCCGTCGCGTTCCCAGCCCCATGAGAAGAACGAAGGGGAAGAGCTTGAAAAGACTCTGGAGAAAAAGGCCGAACAGTCGGTCGAGAAGACTCGGAAGAAGTTTGGGAATTGGATGAAGTTCGGCAAGGGTGGTAGTCGTGTTCAAGAGCCCGTTCACACTCCTGAGGAGAAGGCTGCCGCTAAGCGTCGGGCTGAAAAGGAAGCCCACAAGCGCAAGGGCAAGGGTCGCTCCGCCCACGCCTACCAATTTGGCAACACGATTATTGTCGAGGACGAAGATGGCGAGGTTATCAAGAAGTACTCGCTTCCCGCCAAGGAAAAGCCAAAGCCTGAGGGCAATGCTCCGGTCCGACGAGGACTGACCCGCATGGGAACCTGGTTCGGCATGGAGGAAGAGGGTGACAGCTCGCAAGCGGCGCGCAAGGCGGCGCAGGACGAGTGGATGGCGGATGATGGTCTGCGTTTCACTCTCGCTGACGATAGCGACCTCGGCAAGCGGGGCATTGAGCACAAGGGTCGTCGCATGACCAAGCACGAATTTGCCCAGCAGATCCGCAACCTGGACCCGAAGGCGCGTCGCGATGTGGTGGAAGAAACCGATGCTCCCGAGCGGGTCAAGAACGTTGCTCGCCAGGAGGCCGAGAAGGTGGAAGAGCAGGAGCGTCGCAAGTCGGATCCCGGCGTCACACCGTCCGTTCCCGTTTTCGACGATGATTCCGGGACTGAAACCGACCTCAGCGACGCTGAATCGGGCCACGGCGTTCCTGGCGAGAACATCGCTGCGTCTCTGGCCCGGTTCAGTCGTGGTACCGCTGCCGACGAGCGGCGGAGTCGCCATGTCAGCCCCAAGTCATCGCCCACGAAGACGCAAGCTCGGTCGAGAAGAGACTCGGAGGACGACGGGACCGAGCGTGTGCCGCCAGCTCAACTGCGGGAGGCGGCTGGTCTATCCCGGCCGCCGCAGCAAGCGGATGACGAAACTGGCGAGACGCCCGCTGAACGCCGTCGTCGTCTGGCCGCTCTGGGTGAGATCAACAACTCGGACGACTCGGACGATTCCGACACTCCGGTAGACGAATCGGACAGTGAGAACACCGGTGCGAACCAGAGCCGGGTCCAGTTCGCGGATGGCACGAAGGACAGCCGGCAGCAGTCGTTCAATGGGGGTGGCTCCGGTGACGCGCAGGAGACGGGATCGACCTACTCGCGCCATAGTCGCAGTCAGAGTCGTCGCAGCATTTCTTGGGGAGGAGAGAAAGGGCGGGAAACTTAGGGGAAGATGAAGATAGAGATGGAGATGAAGCTGAAAGGGGGGGGAAGGTGTATGTATAGACAGCAGAGAGGTGGAAAAGGGGTAAGGCGGTGAACGCCCACGTTTGTGGCTGTGAGTGTGCTTTTGCTGCCTTCGACAAAAGCCGAGGATCGACTGATGTTTCTCCCTGGCTTGATCACTTGCATTGAGCGAGCATTGGGTTTGCATGCCTGCATTTTCTTTTCTATCTCGTCCGCTTGTACAGAGCAAGATTCACTTTGTGTAATTACTTCACCTCCGGTTGATCCGGTCTACTCGGTACGGGAGTTCGACTTGAGTCGCTGTGACGAGTAAGAAGTATATAGATAATCAATGCTAATGTTATAGTTTCCGACTGTTTGTGGTCTTTCGCGAGTATGATGGTTCTGTATAGGATTTGTCTGTCTGTTTTGGGGTGTTGGGCCGACCAAGAGCATTCTGCTGGGATATTGTCTGTGCGTAAATAGTGGCAACACTAGACCAGATGTATTCGAACTACTGTCTAATATGTGCTGAAACGCGAATCTGATGTAGCACCCTGCACCTGCACCTCCCAAAGGTCATCAATATTTGGTATAGTATGAACTCGCCATTAGCGGTAATATGAGCCAAGCCCGCTCGCTGTAAATGGGTTTGCTCTGGATCTCTTTTGCCCTCAGTTCTGTACAATTTCCAGGGCAAGAGATAGAGAAAAAAAAAAACACTATTTGGCTATGCTGTGGTACTGCTTCCTCTGCACCGAGAGATTGATGACAAGCTCAGCCTCCAGCTTGGCCGCCAGATCTCGATGGATAGTTACAAGGTGATAGCGCATTACCAAAACACACCCGCCAAAAAGAACCCCCGCCCCAACCCCCCAGAGATGTAGCGGACATCATCCCGTCCTCTGACTCAGAAGTTCACCAAGAAGAATCGTAATTCGGACCCCCTTCTACATCCCAGATGGTGAGATTGGTGAGTTGGAAGCTGGTGGTGGTTGTGTCGTGCGGATCTCCTGTGTTGTCGGGTGCGGTGGTGTACTCGCTAGTCACGTCTTTCTCCGATGAGGTACCACAAGGACTCCTCGTCGCCACGTTTCTATGGCTATTTGATATCCGACCGGCAGCAGCAGCAGCAGCAGCAGCGACAGGCTTGCACGGTAGGAAAACAATCGTGTGGCGCGTGGCGGGGTCTAGCTGGATTTCCGCGATGTTGGGGATTCCGATGCGGATGCATTCTGAGGATGCGGGTGATGCATCAGTGTGCTCGGCGGGGTCGGTATTGTGATTGTCGCCCTGGGAGGTAGACGCCGCTGGTCCTCCGCTGGTCCTGCTTTCAGCATTGCACTGGGTTAAAGTGAAAGAAGGCCGGAGCTGGAAGAGAAGTTCTGGTTCGGCGAGGATGTCTGTCGTTCTTTTCTGTGTGGTGGTGGAGGCCGGGAAGAATGCTCCCACGACTACGGGGCTGTTCTTTTTCCTGTCAGTGGGGTTCGGGTTCATGTGCTTGTCCTCCTCGTCCGAGTGATTCAGGTGCACCTGCAGATTCTCATCGGTAGGATGAGGTTGGCCCACGAAGAGAACAAGCCGTGCTTTCGGGGGTTTCTCGGCCGGAGAGACCTTCTGTTGGAAAATCCAGGCAGCCAGATCCAGATGTAAGCCGTCCTCTGTCGAGTCGAAGCGTTTGTGGAAGGTGATGGGCTTGACTTTGCGGTGGATGTCGGCTCGGCTGTGGGGAGGGAACGGGGGGATGAAGAGGGAGATTGCGTGGAGGAGGGTGTCTGGCCCTGTACCCTTATCTGTTGCTGTCCTTGTTCGTGTTGCTGTCTCTATTCCTTCTGCCTCTATGCTTGATTCTACCCCTGGCTGTCTGGGTGGTTGAAATATCGTAGCCCAGAGCTGATGGAAAGCTTGCTCCAGATTCGGCTGGTTCGGCTTCATATCAGGACTATCTCGATCAACTTAATTGCCCCAAGGATGGAAGACATACCAGAACCTCCAACCCCCGCACCGCCAACTCCGTTGAAAGAACCTCCTCCTCCTCCTTCCCCGAGCACACCGCACTCGCCAGTCCTCGAGCTAACTCCTCCGTTTCATTCCCAACATCGTCGAAAGACCCGTAATAAATCCCCCTGCCCCACGTAGACCCTGCAGAGACTCCCACTCTAAGGATCAAACCCAGCCACGCCGCCAGATCAGCCTTTCTGACCCGATACTCCCGCTCCTCTCCCCCCTCCCCGCTCTCGCGCAGCAACCGCCCCGCCAGCGGCGCGAGCTGCTCCACCGAGGGAAACACTTTCGGGTGAGCCGGGCAGACAGGCAGGATGGCGTCGATTACCTCGTCGGTGAGGGATGTATCCATTATCCCCTTCGCAGAAGTTGGGGGGTCTGGACTGAGGACGGGTGTGTTACTGACGCTGACGCTGACGCTGATGCTCCGCAAGAGCCGGGTCATCCGTCGGGGGCAGCTACACGACTCCTCCACTCGCCCCCAGCAGTACCCGAAATCATCCTCGACGAGGCCGAGGAGCTTCGTGCCGGAGAGGCAGAGGAGGGTGAATGCGCGCTCGAAGGCGGGGAGCTCGAGCTTCAGCCTACTGGCTGCAGCATCGGATGGAAAGGGGTGGTAGGCGTAGCGGCAGAAACAGGACCAGAGGAGGGTGATGGTCGCGTGGGAAATAGTGGTCGTGGGGTGGGTTTTGACTAGATGGGCTTGGAGGATTTCTTGCGTCCAGTCTGGATAGTGTTTAGTTTCTGGGTGGGTTAGACGGTTGAGAGATCCGGACTTACAAGGCTGCGTTTGTGATGACGGGTCTCTGATGCATGAGGCGTTGAAGATAGTTTGGGGATTGGTGGTGGTGATTGCTTTGGCTTCACGGAGGAGTTTGGTGTGGAGGGAGGTGAGGAGAGTGTCTGGTAGTGTTAGTTTGTTGCAT